ATTTGATATAATTTCTCTCCATTATCTCATTTGGTATATCTTTGAGAAAAGTTGATCTTACCTCAAAATTCATTCGACATTCAGACATTATTTTCTCTTATGTAAGTTGCAAAACATATTGGTACACATTACTTGAAGATGAACAAAAAGATAAGAGGGTAATTGTTGCTTGAGGTCTAACAAAAACATATTGGTAATTGCTGTCCACAAGTATTATATTAGTGTTGTAGTATTATATTATATGTATAATGTTTTGATGATAATAAATACGTTTTAGACGATTTAATTATGCTTATTTTAGAATATATATAACATGTGAGTGCTCGAGTATAATTAGAAATAAAAAAAATAATAGTTCATATGAGACATCATTAAACTTATATATGTGGTCGATAAAATCATGTGAACTTATCATATTGTAAATTACTGTGAAAAATATCAACATTAATAAAATATGCTACAATGGAAAAGTAATGATAAACAAATCAAAATCTATGAGACAACAAGAAGTAAAGGTATGAAAGAGTACCCAATTGATTGTGTTCTTATGATATCAAAATATTACTTTTGAACAATTTTTATATCATTTTAATTGATTGAATTAAAAATTACTTATTCAGTCAAACATGATTATTTAGATATTAAATCATATATTTTACAATTTATTTTAGATATCTTGAATCACTAAAATCATCATTATAGAAATTGAGATCATCACTTAAGATTTTAACTTAAAGATTGCATTTTTATTGAAGTGATTCAAATAAGATTTGAATGTTAAATCATCATCTTATTCAGATATCTAATATCAGAATTTTTTTTAATAATATGAGATCATCACTTGTTCTACACTTATGATATATGATCTATAATGTACTAATGTCAAACAACACAATTCATATATAAATATTAAGTCATAAAAGAATCACATATTGGTTTTTTTAATGATATCTGAACTAGCTTATGGATATGTTGTATTTCTTTCTATGAGAAGATTGTCGTTAGAAAATCATAAATATCTAATAATAAGTTGTTGATGCCTTGGGCATAGATTTTGATATTACAATTATATGAGAAAATATATAATTCATGTTTGATATTGCCTACACAATTATCATAAATGCCTCATAGATTTCATACAAATAAAACAATATTTATCTTGTGACATTATGACTAACCTTGAGAATAAGTGAATTGATGAATAGGTGGAGCGCCACATATATATGGATAAATATTTTTTAGAAAAAAAATATTTAATAGGTAAATGATGATTATGTTTTTATGATCCATGATTCTTTAACCATTTAAGTGTAGCTATTATTTATTAATCACATGCATCATTAAAAGAAAAAGAATATAATTCGAAATATCAAATGAGCTCTTGTGAGTCTCGAACCGGAAATCAGGACGATGACAAGTCAGCTGCTTACGTGGAGAAAACGACCCGCTTAACGTCCGAATCTGAAGACAAAGTCAACAGAAAAGTTGTTTGTTTGTGAGAGACGAATCTCCAGTTCAGATTTCAAATCGAACGGACCAGAGAATAGAAAGATATTGAATTCGCAATGGTCAGAGGTCGTTGCCGCGCATTCCGAAAAACGGTAAGTATTTGAATTGACTTTCCGATTTGATCTCTTGAGCAAAATGCGGAAATCCGTTGGAGGACGACGCCCTACAAGAAGAGGAAGCTGGAGAGATTAACCACAACGATTCCACTTCGATCTAATAGGAGTTCTCTCTCTCACGATCAAGAATCGTCACCGCCGAGCTTCAATCGCGAGCAAACTGCATCATCCTTCTTCATCAACGATTGATGATCAAGATAAAGCTTGAATCTTTCAAGGAGGCTCTCCATCAGGCCCTAAGGTAACTGGATAGTGAGTGGAGAGTGATTTTGCGTGCGCTCCACCTATTCATCAATTCACTTATTCTCAAGGTTGGTCATAATGTCACAAGATAAATATTGATTTATTTGTATGAAATTTATGAGACATTTATGATAATTGTGTAAGCAATATCAAACATGAATTATATATTTCTCATATAATTGTAATATCAAAATCTATGCTCAAGGGCATCTACAATTTTCATACGAAATTTATTTATATATCATTCTCTTCAAACAGCCCAATCAAGACAATAATTATCCTTTCTACCTTTAACTTTGTATTAAGTCTTCATCACAAGAATTTCAAGTAAGACATGATGAAGTTTATGGTGGCTATACAAATGGTGTAGAGGCATTAATATGAGGACTAAAAGGGTATTGAATTATCTTCTTTGACTGATTTGAAGCTTAAAGAGTTTTCAATTTACTTGTATTTCAGCAAAAAGAAGATAACAACTAGAAGCCAATACACATCATTCTTTTCGTAGAAATCCAAAAATACTTGAAGTCTACATCATTTCTAGAAAATTATTCATGATGAAATCTTTTCATATCTCTTGTGAAGAAAACACAATTAATTCACCTTTCATCCTCTGTGAGAGTTGTCCCCTTGAACAATTGTTGAGATTCTTAGAAGAAAACTTATGAGTAAAAGTCTATGGAAGTTGAGCTCGTTAATCAATGTGTGTGATCTAACAATCAATTTTAGTCCCAAGAACAAAGTTGTTCTTGAAAAGTGGACATAGGTAGTGAGCCGAATGCTTGTAAAAATTAGAATATTGTATAATTATTAAGGTAAGAAAAATCTATGAAACGTAAGAAGGAAATGAATTTAAATACATAGTAATAGATTTCACAAAAAATGATCTAGGAATAGACCCCTCATTCTTTATCTTAGTGTGGGTCAAAATCCAACAGTCCTACCTCATCCATTTGTTCATTTACTATTAAATGATTCATCTTGAAATACAGTCCAATATGAAAGATGTACCTCTTCATGTTGGCCCTACTAAAAGGGAGAAGTTAATGTCATCTTCTTGGTTTTCAACACTCTCCACACATATACGATTAAAGAGGTATGTCTGATGTTACTCCATCTTGTAATTTCATTGTTAAATGAGGAGATTTGTCACATGCTAGGTTGGCACATGATCCTCCATCTAGTCCCCCTTTGTCATGGACCTCATGTTTTCTTTCCACTTAGTTCAATCGTTGAAGTGGATGATCAAATAAATGGGACAAGTTCTTCCATTATTTTTAGTTTTCTTCCTTTAGGATAGAGAGGACAATTTTGATTCCTTCTATCTTGTTCTTAGTAGATTCCACATAATTATTTGATAACTTCAATACCATATCTCTCTAGTCATTGGCTCAAATATCAAAATGGTGAGAGTCATTCCTCCAATTGTTAAGATAAGGGCTGACAGAAAAAGATAAGGAATTGGATATGTATTTAGATGAATCAGACAATAAATAAGATTCCACAAAACACTAATAGAACTTAGAAAATAGTATAAGAGGCTTCTTTTCCCCTCCATAGCTTGATCAAGCTCTAGAGTTTTATTCACAAAAGGATGTTACTCTCATATGTTTTAAGGTCCTTAATAACCTACCCATATAATGACCCATCTACCCCTCTCATCCTCTTACTACCCTACCCATGTATCTTAAGTTTCTATCTTTAGTTATAATTTTTCATCAGAATCTTATCATATACATCCATCAATTGGTGAAAAATCAACCTCACATTACACATTATTTGAGAATTAGTGCACCATATATAGACTAACTAATATTAAGTCACCTATTAAAACATGTAAAAATTATAAATATTTTAAATGTCCTTCATTTCTAAATTTTATACATGTGAGCCAAGTTAAAAGATTGTATGTTATGAGAACAAATATTCAATTTGTGATTAAGGACATTTAAAAAAATATATATCTCATTTTTAATTATACCGATTAAAACTTATAATCTTGACATCATTAGAACCAAGAATTTAACATTGAGAACACCATAAGCTCATCAAATGCATGTTTGTTAATATTTTCATGACCTAAAATGACATTTTTTCTTTGGTATCTATTTTGTCATCATCAAATTGAAATTCACTCTAAAGTTAGACTAATCGTCATCTATAATTTTAAATTGTCATGATAGGTTTAATATTTGATATTAAAATTGATCTTCCTTATACAGGCCACTTTATCAAAAGTATTTTTCATTTGTTGATTAAACCTTGTGCACATTTCAAATATTTGTGGCATAATCTGTACCTTAAATTGTGAGGTGATTACCTCTAAGATGAACACATTTATTGTGCTCGCAATGGGACTTCCTTCTTTGACACTTATTTTTTTCATTTCATTCATATTTAGAATTAAAAACAATAAGTGGAAGGTATGACTAAATAAGGAAAATAGATAAACCTTAAACATGCTTGTCATGCTCTCTACATAGCAAGACACACCTTACTTAGCCCTAATCAAACGAGAAGAGTAGGAAGAGCATAGAACTAATCACCAGTTTTTTACCTATCAATAGTTAGTATGCAGTTGAATGGGTATCACTTTTAAAGGCTTGCCCACCAAAGATTTGAATACTAACTAGTACATTCTTTCCAAGAAGATTATCATTATAACTTACTCAGTGCAGTACCCACAAACACTCAAGTAGATTCTACCTCATCTTACATAGCTCCTCCTCTCATAGCATCAAGAATTGGCACTTGAACTTTGAATTTCCATCACTTCCACATTGAAACCATGGAAGATTACATCATTTTTAACCCCGAAAAAATAGATTCATCTCTCTTTTCGACCAGCTCCTCTGCGCTAATAGCATCAGGGCACGTTGCTATCACCAAGAATGTCTCTACAGTGAAACGTCAGTTAATCTCCATCCAGTGTATGTTGAAACCGTGGAGAACCACACCGTTGCTGACCAAAGAAAGGAGCATGATTCCACAACATTTAGGACTCTTTCTCTAGTCAATGAGAAGAAAGGCATCCTCTCCCATTCTCATAATCAACACAGCCGAACGAGAGACGTCCTCCATTTATGCAAAGATAGTTGAAGGAAACTCGTTGGTTACCCTACAATATCATCATCACTGGTGATAGAGACTGAACCAGCAGCCTCTCCCATGGCTCCCATTTCTTCTGCTGTAGAGCCACCAGAGCATATTCGAGAGGGAGTTCCCGTCGTCGAACTGGGACAGCGCTCTGGTCTTCTCCAGCCCCGCCGCCGTGTCGTAGACCCCCTCCAGCGCGTAGACGAAGCCCTTCCATCCTTCTCCAACGCCTTCCCTCCCCAGCGCCGGCGACGCCCACCTCACCAGCTCCCTCACAAACCCAACGTCCCTGAACAGGAGCTCCGTGATGGGCAACAATGGCAGCACCTGGATCCCCAGCCTGCATTCCTTCCACTCCGGCGGCGCGAACCAGAGGCCGCCGTCCCTCTTGTTGGCCCACAGCACCCCCACCACCCGGTTCTCCCTGCTGAACTCATCCTCGTAGATGCCCCCTCCCTCCTTCACGTGCCACCAGGTCGCGGCGGCGCCGATCTCCAGCGCCGCCAGCGTCGACCCCACAGCGACGAGGTGGGTGTCGCCGTAGCTCATCCCCAGCAGCGCCGCCGCGTAGTACCCGTTCACAGCCTCGCTAGTGCTCTCCTGGTTCCTACCGTCGGCGAACTCCGTTAGCCCCCCGGCCCACGAGTGCAGCTTCCACAGGTCGAAGCAGCGCAGCATGGGGAAGCTCGAGGAGGTCTTCTTCTTGGAGAGGTTCATGAAGTCGCCGGCCATGGCGTAGCTCTGTGGCATGTACTTCCTTCCCCACGCCGGATCGAGCTTCGACAGCACGGCCATGGCGTAGAGGAAGTAGCCCAGATGGTAATGGTGGTCGTTGTAGATGCCGAACCCGAAGTCCGCACCGGCGTCGGCGAGGCCCTGCTCGGAGACGACGCCGCCCCACCGGCGGTCGTAGCGGAGCCCGTTGCCAGCAAAGGTCCCCTCCAGCCATGGAGTGATCGCCGCCGACAGGAAGCTCCTCACCGCCGGGATGAGCTCGTGGCAGGAAACCTCTTCCGCGATCAGAGCCAGCCTGGCGGCGCGAGCGACGGCCTTCCCGAAGAAGTAGGAGGAGGTGGTGGCGATGGGCTTGGCGGCGAGCTCGCCGACGTCCTTCCTCAGGGCGGCAGCGATCTCCGGGAAGCCGACCTCGGCGACGCCTCCGATGGAGTGCCAGGTGATGGGGATCGGGTCCGTCTTCAATACCCACGAGTCCCCCACCACGCCGACGAGCTCCCCGTCGATGCTCCTGTACCTGAACTCCTCCAGCACGGCGCCGCCGCCGCTGCGGGAGAGGAGCTTCAGGTGGAGCGGGTGAGCCAGGAGGAGGAGCTCCCCCCAGCCCTTGGTCTCCCACCTGTACTCCACAGAGAAGGCCCGGGTGAGAAGGGCCTCGCCGGAGACGGCGTAGCAGCAGCTGAAGCGGTCGAGGATCGGCTCGCAGCTGGGGCTAGGGAGGTAGGCGACGCGCAGAACGCCGGCGAAGCCCTCGCCGGAGCTGAGGACGGAGGGGGAGGACCGGGTGAGGCGGAGCGGGGAGGACGAGTAGCAGAGGAAGGTCTGGCCGCTGTTCAGCTTGACGACGTGTTTGGTGTGGTTGGGATTGGAGGTGACTGAGAGGATCGCGTGGACGGTGGAGAGAGAGACGGGGGCGGTGGCGGTGGTGGTGGCGCAGGTGACGAATGGGCTGCCACGGACGAGGAAGAAGCGGAGGGGCGGCAGATCGAGGGTCACGCTGAGAGCATCGAAGGCAGAAACGACGTGCCTGGCGCCGCCGCTGCCGTTGGCGGCGGTGGCGGAGATGGTGAGGTCGGCGGTGAAGGTCTGGTAGATGAAGAGCGGGGCGACGAAGCGGGAGGGGTAGCAGACTGTGAGGGAGGAGCCGGAGGACTTGATGAGGTAGGGGTGGATGTACTCCGGTTGGTCGCCATTTCTGAGGACGAAGTTCTGGAAGAAAGAATTGGTGGGAAGCGGGGAGGAAAGCAGATGAGGGGCGAAGAAGGCGGAGGGATCGGGGAGAACGGAGGAATTCGACGCAGGGAAGAGGAAAGGGGCCTGGTGCCCACCGGCCATGGCGGACGGCGGAGACGGCGGAGACGACAGCGACGCTGGAAAGGTTGGGAATGATCCTGGTGGCTGCTGCGGCTGATTCGTTCTCTTCTTCTTCCTCCTGCTGACCGCTTTATCCACCAGACGACGCGCAGACACTGAGAACCTTCTGCCCATCTTCCTCAACATAGTCTCCCCCGCCATGCGAGATTTCTGAGATTTTGACCTAAAGGGCTTACCTGACGGGGACCCATGGCCGGCTCCTCCATGGCTTCATCTGCAACCCCCCCAACAAGGGAACCTTCCCTTGTCCATTAATCATCCTCTTTCTCTCTCTCCCCCGTACTCACTCCACCCACCATGGAGGTAAGGAACCAAAAGCTTTTGTGACCTACCTAGTTGACAAGACAAGATAGCCATGGGTGATGGTGACGATGGTGGTGGTGGTGCTACAGGAAGCATGAAAATCAGGGAAAAAACAAAAACTTTTGAGGAAAATTTTCATGGCCTATTTGGATTATGCGCAATCATAATTCTTATTTTTACGGGTTTTTTCCGTAGAACACGAGGGAATCATGCCACAGGCCGTCCATCTGGCACGAATACGAGAACTATAAGATGATCAAATGCACCTGGCAAGGGAGACCCGGAGGAAAATTTTCATGGCCTATTTGGATCATAATTCCTACCCTGAATCGGGTTTTTCAGTAGAACTCGGGGAAATCAAGTGCCACACAGGCCATCCATCTGGTATGAATACAGCAATTATATAAGTAAGATGATGATCAAATGCACCTGGCCCGGAGGAAAATCTAAGGCTTATTTATTTAGTCTTCAAGGCGAGGCCGGTCTCCACCTTCTTGATCTCGAAGATGAGCATCCTCCACATCTTGAGGACGAACATCTCAGCCTCGTCGTCCAAGATCGACTGAAGCAGCTCCAGCATCTGTGAGGCGTGAACATGCTCCCTCGTGCTCGAAACGATGTAGTCCACCAGGGTGGTCTCCTCCTCCCCCAGAAACTCTGTTATCTTCTTCGAGATCCACGGCCTCATCCTCTCATGCAGCTCATGCTGGAAATTCACAGCAAATAGATCATTCAACCACAAATTAATACCAACTTTAATGTAGAAATAAATTAATTCATGTTTCTCTTGATGGGAAAGCTGCAGACCTTGTCGTAGACATCCCAGTTGATCTCATATGCAAACAGCTTCTCCTTGGTCTTCGGAATCATGTCGATCAGCTGCTTGGCATCCAAAAGCTTCCTGTTCTCAGAAGATCTGACCTTATCTTCCTCATCTCTGCCCCGATGAGGCCTCTCGTGTGTCTTCTCTCTATGAACATCTCTCGTGCGACCGTGTTCGTCGTCATCCCGACTCCGGTCCCTCTGGCTTGATCTCCTGCTCCTTTCCTCTGGCTCGGGCCGGTCCTCTTTCGGGTTAGCCACTGAAATGCGCTTGGCGAATTCGGCAGCCGCCACCAGGTTGGCGGATGGCCCGGACGCAGTGGCCTGCACTGCCTGGAGCTCCTCGGTAGAGTAATCGATGGGGACCAGAGGCCTCATCTTCTTGTCTTGCACGCCCTCATCGTCCTCTTGGTGGAAGACCGACGGGACGGCTGCCCGCTTCCCAGATGCCATTAGACCAAAGCCCAGCTTAAGGGAGGAGATGTTGCTCCCCTGCTTTGGCTCTGATGCTGTCGGTAAATCTGGGAGCATGCCATTGCCATTGCCATTGCCATTGCCATTATCATTGCCATCGCCACTCCGGAGGGCTTCCTCTCCTTTAGAAGTCAAGAGTAAGGAAACATTTTAGGAGTGGTGCAGTTAGAGAACTAGAACGGAAGGAGATCTTAAGACTTACCAGCACTATCATTCTCCCCATCGAAAGAGAAATTCGCTTCGGGTCTCTCAGCAGGAAGCTCCGGCTGATCTTCCACAAGCATTTCTTCTTCTGGGGCCACTTTACCCTTGTCCCCGTTTTCTTGTCCGGATAGGCGAGATTCTTCCTTCCGCTTCAGCTCCTCAATCACCCTCTTCTTGGCTTCTGCGATTTCCTCCTCTTCCCGTAACCTGTCAGCCAAATCTTCTTCCTTTTCACGCTGCCTCTTCCTCCTCTTCTCCTCGAGCATGCTACTCCTGTGTCTCCGTTTCCTAGTGTCATCGTCGTCACTGTCAATTTCCTGATCCTTGATTTCCCTGCGGCGTTCACGAGCTCTCTCCTTCTCCCTCTCCATCTCTCTCAGCCTCTGGTTTTCCTTCTCTCTTTCTCGAGACTCCCAATCCTTCACAAGGTCCTTGTACAGGCGCTCACTCTCCCTAATTTTCATCTCACGTTCTCTCTCCCGCCTCACTCTCTCCCTCTCCCGTTCCCGCTCATATCTTTCAAGTTCTCTCTCTTTGTCCCGTTTAAGATCCCTCTCCCTGTCTCTCTCTCGACTTCTATCTCGCCTCTTTGTCCTATCAGATGAGCTTGCTTCAGATCTATCATGGTCAGCTGGTGGCTTGGTCTCACTCATCATCTCATCATCTCTTTTATCTTCACCTGCATCTAAAACACGAGAAGAAATCATGACTTATTAAATCAAAATCATCAACAATATTAACAACAAGAAAGACAAGAGGAAGAGTATGAATGCAGACAATGGGTCTCATTCACCAGGACTGACCATGTTTAATGATATCCACGTCCGAGTCTCCATCCCTTGATTTACTGGGAGCCTCAGAGTTTGACTTCGCGGTATCAGAAGCAGTCTCGAAAGGTGGCGGAGGAAGAAGTGGCTTGTTCTTCAGCCTCTCCTGCATCATGTTCGTGAGCCTCTCCAGAGCATCCCTGTCAGCATCACGATCTTCCTCGGAAACGATACCAAATTTCTGGGCGTTGTCTTGCTTCTCCTTGTTCTCAGATTCTTCATTTGCCTCAGGGCTTTCATCTGCGGGCTTTGGAGGCTCCTGTTTCTCAGGACCTGATGGACTTCCATTTTCTGGCTCAGAAACTTTGGCTTCAGATTCCTTAAGCTTTTCCCTCTCTGTCTTTTTATCAACGTATCGCTCAAGATATTCCCTAGTAGCTTGGTTAACATTGAGCTGTCCAACCATCATATATAGCTAATCAGTATAGATTAACCACAGAAAAAATATGAGCGAAGAAACATTCGGAGAGTATTAGTGATCAAAGAAGTATATATCATACGCATCTATAGCTTGTGAGAGTAAAGAAATTCCATTCAACAATATGCACATGAACAAGTATTTTCCTTAAGGGAAAGCCACGCAAGGGCATGAAAAGAAATTTTTTAAAAAACTCATAATAAACATAAGCTTGCAGAGGATAGGAATGAACTTGCCACAATCTACCATTGGTGTTTCAAAATTTGTATTCTTTCCACTAAAAGAAACTTGAAACGACGAAAAAATTCCAGGTCAAAGTTGAGAAATTATAATTTCACAAAATTGCTCATAGCTGATGTCATTACTAATCTTCATCTAAGGCTTGGAAATAATGATCATCGTCCTGCAGATGCAGACAAGGTTGTTTAATAGCATGGAATTTGAGTGGGCGACTTCCCACAGTTCACTTGACAGTAAAGTTAGGAACGTCTTACCTCAAAGAAAAGAATCGTTGATTAATTGCTAGCTTATAAGGTTCAAGAGACTAAATAATTAAGTATGTGTTGACTATAGTTTTTACTAATCCCCCATTTAAAAGGATAATATCCCTAGCATTTGTATACCTCATCTCATGGTCCATGTTCCGGTACTTTATTGCACGTCCAACTACATACACCGATTCATCTCATGATACGAAGACTATTTACAAAGACTAGACATGCAATGTTAACACAAGTACCCAGTCATACCCTCTAAACCAAAAACTTATGTTCACTTAATGCTTTGATGGTTCAGAGAATTACGGTGTAATGAATTTAATTAGGCATCACCCACATGTAATGATAGTCATAAGCCACTCTACAAAAGTACACACCTTTCCATGAACCCTAATTACTTTCTTCTGAAAATGCAGAGTACAGCATAGTCATTTAAGAAAGAAAATGGGGAAAAAGCATCATTCACAATCAAGAAGAAACGTCCCTATAGAAGAGAAACAGTGCACACCAAAAAGGTGCATGCTACTGCATGTATCTAGGGCTTCAATAGTGGAAGACTCATCTTTACCAATAATGCATAGGATACTTGCCTATTTTTAATCCAAGACAAAACGAGAAATATTATCCACTGAACAAGGACACGGGTGAGTTAGATAGAGCATACCTTAGGTAAGTGAAAAGAAAAGATGAGTAGGTTTGCCTTTCCCTAATATCTAGAAATATTCTTAAATAATAGAACAATGTAAAATTTTGACAAATGAGATGAAGCATGTCTACACATACAAATGAATATCAAAAAGAAATTTTTGCGAAAAAAATTTAAATAATAGAATAGTTGATTGGCCAACAATGAATTGTCGTCATTAATAATCATTATACTTAAGTTATGGATGATTTCATCAGTAAACATTTTTATCCGAACAAAGGACAAAATCTACACAAAAAGGCAGGTCGCAACTTGTTGGCTGCAATTGCAAAAACGCAGCTGCTCTATTCACAAACAACCAATTGTCTGCCATTCTTATGATCCATATTTTCAATATGTAGTTATGGAGCCATCTGTAATTTGGGTGAAACCTATTTAATAATTCCAGAAGGCATTTCTACGAATTACCATGATCTACAGAAAACTTGCAATCTGAGGAAAGAATTCAAACTAATTTTAGAAGGAAGAAGGCCCAAAGCCCAATAAGAGAGTAATGGTCAGCATTACTTTTAAGGATGGAGGGAAAGGAGCAGTTATAGAAAGGAGCGGTTACAGCAAAGAGCAACTATGACAAGTAGCAGTTATAACAAGGAGCAGGATAAGGAGCAAGAAACGAAGGGATCAAGGGGGGGAATCGGTGGTATTGTGCTCGTGGATCAACAAGAGGGCTTGGGGGTTCAGATCGGGAGTTGCATGCGACTCTCCAATCTGTTCCTAATTCTTCTACTGTTTCTGCTTCTTCATCTGTTTCTGTTTCTGTCTTATTTTCATCAAATAAGACAAGTTCGTCATTCTATGATTTGGGATGTTATCGCATTTTCCCCAAGGCAAATCCTACTATAAGTCTGATGTACTAATTCAATGCCTCCTAAAGAGTAACGGAGGAGTGCGAAGGTAGGCTCAAGCGTTGATTCTGCTCGTGAGCGTAATGGTCGTATCTCTGGAACGCTGTAATCTAATAACAAGGTGATGAAATATAATCCTTAATTTTTTTGTTAAAAAGACTGCTTTGAAATGAAGTAATCTCTCCCAGTTGCATCTGACGCTTTGGCCAAGTCTGGTGCTTATTAGCACAGACACAGAGAGAGAGGGAGAAAGGGGCTTGAAGAGGAAGAGATACTAAAACTCAGAAAGTAGTAGAGAGAGAAATTTGAGAGCTGGGGTGAGATGTGTGTGCGTGTGTACATATATATATATATAGACACACATACAGAGAGAGAGAGAGAGAGAGAGAGAGAGAGAGAGAGAGAGGAACCATAGAGTGGAGATTGGCCATAAGACAAAGGCAAAGTTTCATATTACCCATAATCAAAATACGAAATCGAAGGGAAACTGAAGTCATCTACTAAGAAGGAGGGCTTAGAGAAGAAAGGAAAGAAGATGAGCGTCAAACAAAGAACAAAGGGCCAGGTAAAGTTTAAGATGAACGATGAAACAATGAACAGAGCAATCAATGTTGAACATTGATTGCGAGGAATCCAGCTAAAGGACGAGAAATAAGTTGAAGATCTAAACAGACACTAGAGCAGAGACCACCGACTTTCTAACAAACAAAGATACGAAAAGGGCACCAGAGCTGGACAGGACAGACACTAGGGAAGAAATGCTGCTAGAGATTGGAAATGCATCGACAGGATGTATTTTTTTATGAAGTCAGCAAATAAGGCCTTCTAACTCTATATGTTCTTTCTTGTCTCCCTTTGGTGTATTTTTCCCGTCTTTACCCCTTCTGAACTCCTTCTCCTCTTCCACTTTCCCCACTACAATAGATTTTTTCTTATCCGAGCTCTTTCCCCATTATCCTTTTAGAGATACCTACCTCTCATTTATGTAGTGAGGGTACCAAGCATTATTATTGTTTATCAAAAAAATCTCTAGGTAGCAGGGTGGTTGCATATAACTTATGCATTTGAAACGTTTTCGTCAAAAACAGCAAACAATTGTGCGTTAGAAAATGATTATGCTCAGCAGAATTTTCAAGTTATCACCAATATCTTGGACAGGAGGCTGCCAAGACAACTACGACATCTGACCACCTTGCCAAGCTGGCATTCGCAAAGAACACAAACACTCGTTTTCACGTCCAGGAGTAAGATCACACTCGTTCATTGCAAGCAACCATGCACCAGCATTCAGACCACAGTTGCAACAAGAAAAGTACAGTCTGTACTAGTGAACGAAAACATGAATCCACATCATCTTGCAATGAATAATCACTGGGCAAATGCTACCGCCAAAATTATATTTTTTGTAATATGCAATATATTTTAGATAATATTATATTTAATTCAAATTAAAATACGCATATTAATCCATATATTGTTCTAAATAAAAATTATTTTAATAAATTTAAGTAACATGTTCCCCATATTTTTATTTTTAATTGCTGGATGTACAGGTGTTATTTGCGTTTATATTTTCCACAAATCTTACTTATTAATATAAATCAAAGTTACGCCTGACCCAGCACCCCATCAGGTCACTAGGCAGTGAGGTGGCAGATCACCACCTAGATCACCTGGGTCGTCTTCAAATCTCAATGATCAATAACCAGCTTCACTTTGTCTGTTGAAAATTGGCATTGCTCTAGCCTATATAGGTCCCCCCAGATGTAACCAAGCTCCACCAACCAAATTAATAATAGCTTAAACATTCATAAGCCCCTCTTCAACTCTTATCTGTGAGAAAAAGCAACCAAAATAAACAACATAGCAGCCAGGTAGATAGCAGCATTTGATTGTTGAACAGCCCCAATTTAACATAGCATACGAAGAAGAGATGATCCGACTTTATTACAGCATCCTCAAGCACAAAAATTTACAAATTATTGCACGATAAGCAACCAATATCATAGAGCTGATGAAAAGGAGAAACGACCGAGATTTTATTTCCCGCACAATCATCAGTGTGAAAAGGTTACCATCAACAGATGTGGTCAAAAGAAAAGCAGTAACTAAATAAAGAGGCAGTTAGAACCTAATTAAATTGAGAGGAAGCAAATACATAATAAGAGCAGAAATACAAGAATAATACAAACTGAAAAAAAATCAAATTGTTAGGGGATACTTACAAGAAGCTTTGCACTGATTTATTTTAGCCTAAACTAAAAGTCGGCAAAACTAACATTATGGAAAAACTAAAAGGATAAAGTAGCCGGAATCAGAGGCACTAGTAAGTGTTACATTTGAGAAGATGGTGAATGACTAATCAACTTGAAAAAGACTTATCATAAAGATCTCAAAATAAATAGACATACCACCAGCTCTTGTCCATCCATGTTGAGTTTATTTAAGAGTCGCAGAGCACGAAGAACTCCTTCAGCTGACTCAAATTCACAAAAGCCGAATCCTCTAAAAGTACCATCAGATGGGTTCTCAGCACGCTTCCAACTCTTCACAGGTCCACAAAGCTTCATATAAGCAACACATTAGAAATCACATGGTCGTCACAAGGTTTCTGAACGAAAAGAAATATGTGTATGCATCCAAAACAGTAATTTATCTTGAACAAAATAGCATAAGCTTACTCGAAGTAGTGACTCCAGGAATTCATTTTCAACAGTTGAAGCAATTTTTCCAACATACACCGTTGTTTGTGGTTTTTCTGCTGGTGCAACAATTGGGACCGCTGGTCTGACAACTGGCGCAACAAGTGGAAGAATACCACGAATTCCCTGAATAGGAGGTCGAGAAAGCTGCGGAATCACGCCCATTGGAGCCCCAGGAGGTCGTTGAGGAAAACCAGGGTGGACCATAGTAGGATACGGTGAAGGATAACGAGGAACTCCTGCATGAATAGAAAACATTCTATGCAAACTTGTCAGATCGAAATAGAGACGAATGAAACAGTAAGGTGTTACAGACCATCGTGTTGAATGTTTTATTTGATAACTTAAAAAGTGTAGACGAATTCGGCCAGCAAGATTCAATGCTGTTACCACAAAAAAGTACATTGGAGAATTGCGGTGAAAGTACAGCAACAATTTACAGGATAAGCATTGACAAAGAGGAAAATAATTTATAAAACGATAGATATGTGAAATTTCCTTACCTTATCTACAGCATTGAGCATATTCTTTCGTACATATCCGAGCCAGTATAACATGATATGAGCAATTACGAAACTTCAAGCATCTTGCTCACACCACGGTAATAGACACAGAAACTCTAAATATTTCCATTAAACCTAAGCGCCTTGTTAGTTACAAGGGAGTGAATGAAAAAAAAAGGGAACAGAAACAGCTGAACGGTAAAAGTGAGCAAAAACAAAGAAGAGAAGAAAAGATGATGGTACCTTGTCAAACATGCACAATCAGCACTGAGGGTGTTATCATTCTCTGTGGCAAACTAAGAACCCATGAAATTCAAAAAATTAAAAGAAACAACTAATATCCTAAATTATCCTATTAAATAATATGAATTAATGCTTGGTCAATTCCATAGCTAGACCAGGCGATGTAGCATTCATCCATAAGAAAGAAACATACCTAATTAAAGATTTTTTTAATGTCATATTTTTACTGAAAACATATGTTTTTCTCGCTAGAAATGGACTTGAACTAAAGGAATTTTTGCATACCAACAAAGATGTTGAAGAAGGAGATCTGTTAGTACCGCAAAGAGGAGCCTGCTGATCTTTCTCACCATGAACCAAATGAACGTGCTGTAGGAGAAAACATCCAGTCATCGATACTAAATGCATCCCTTAACCAACCAACCAACCAACCAACATTTTTTCCTAGATCATCAAACTCTCATCCGCGCCTCAACACTTTTCTCCCACATTCAACCAATAGGCGATCTAGCTGTAAGCTAATTGGCGGAAAAATTCAAGTTTCACCCGTAGTGTAACAAAAAAAGGGAATGGGTGTTCACGCAATACAAGAAAACCAGTTATGACAAAGACATGTATGTAGCACCCATAATGAGAGACCCTCAGGATTCCGTTAATTGGCGAACTTTGAATATACAAATGAAATATAGGCGGCCACCTCCGAAACAAATCCATATTAGGATAGCCTTGCGGACAAGAACATGGAACTCACCCAATCACTTTATTACTAAAAGTTATCAAAGCAAGGAAAACCCACCAGGTGGAGGGATCCCCGATGGACCCTGTGGAACCGTCATGTATCCGTTGGGTGCGTGCATGTACGATCCAGGGGGTGCAGTTTGCATCTGACCAGGTGCATGGTGGTAGACACCTGGCGGGTGCAGCGGAGGGACACTCGCTCCCGTCCCCGACCCGTGAACCATGTGCACGGGAGCGGCAACGCCCGGCGGCTGGAGGCCAGGAACCTGATAGCCGGGGTTCGCGAGGTTAGGGTTCGCCAGGGGAGTGAACTGAGGAACATGCGGCGCACCGATGGGTCGGAAGGATGGGGTGAACGATGGCACAGACGGGGGACGGGGGGCAACAACAGGAGCATTAGAAGGGGGAGCAGTCGGGGCCGGATTAGGGTTTTCGGGCGCGGAGGTGGTGGATTCCCCCGCCGCAGAAGTCGTAGACTGAGCAGATGCAGCCGGAGATGGGAGAGACGGGGGGTCCTGCGACATCGCTGGCGGGTTATCCTCCCCCGATTTATCAGATTTAGGTTCAAGCGCGCCGGGGGAGGACGGCGCTACGACCGCCATGGAGGCCGAGAAGCGCCCAAACAGGGGGGGGTGAGAAACGCAGTAGAGAGAGAGGAGAATGGAAGAATGGGAGAGAGAGAGAGAGAAGTCACAGGCAGACAAACGGACCGATGACGTATCCTCTGACCCAGTTCTGTTTAACGGATGCTTAAAGGTCAAGTCGGTTTTGGTAGCCGCAGTGCCTTATCGGTCAGGCGCTGAATTTTTCACGTGTACTAATGACAAGAATGGCTTCCGGAGCCCGTGGCTCCAGGTGGACCCTGACGTAGGACTTTTTGTGAGAACCCTTGTAAACTATTTAATTAACTTATCACCCTCAAATGAAACCAATGCTGGGTAAGTCAAAAAAAGAGGTATTGGCCCAACTGCACATGATGCGGGCCCCCTATTCGAGCCATTGACCTTGAGGAGAGAGGGATAGAAAAGTAGGTTTGGTCCTTGTACATTAGACATCGCCCAACTTATCATCAACAATGGATTGTGCTTTCAAGGCAAACCACTAGTGGACAAGTCAATCTCAAGCTTCAATTCTTATTCATGGTGGATTTAGACCTAGCTCGAGTCCAAAAAAAGGGAAAGCTGAGCTTTTAGTCAAATCCCTATGCAATTTGGTCTAGCATGATAATTTATGCATGTGTAGTTAGAAGTGTGTGTGTTTGTGTATGTGGTAGAGAGAGAGAGAGAGAGGTTGCTGCATGGTGACCCTTAGATAGAGAAAAGTCATGACTTGATTTTATGAGAGAGAGAGCAACTCCAACTAAAATTACTATTTTTGGTACATCATTTTCAAATCAAAAGTTGAAGAAGCAAATGGATCTTTTATTTGATTTTAAGTCATACTTAGATCAAGACATGGAATTGAATTGATCGTATTCTAATTTTGACTTTCAATCAAATATTCTATTTTTTATCTTCTTAAAATAAATCTCAAAGAATTATTAGATATAAATCTTAATAATTTATTCCCTTACCTACAACATTTGTCTAAGAACATGTTGTTTTTTAGTTTTACTAAATCAAATGTTCAATTAATAAGTACTAACTTTTAGGTTCAACTCTCACAAGACTTTATTTGGGAATTTTATTATAGATTCACATCTTTGTGTGATTCAAAGTTGAGTACAAGGATTTATTCTTTTGAGTGATTAAGTTAAAATTTAATCACAAGTTTATATCCTATAATATAGGAAAAAAAATCTCAGAATGAGAGATTTGTTTTAGAATTTATTCGAGATTTTAATCACACCTAAAAATTAGATGAAGAAAATGATAAGTTGAACTCAATTTTCTTTCTTCTTGTCACATTACGAAGCTAGATGATTGATGAACACATTAGCTTTGAAATCAAATGTGAATCAGGCTTTGTACATCAACTCAATATTTTCTTGTGATTTGATCAAACTTTAAATATCATTCAAATTGGCATGTAGTTTTTTGCATAAGTAGTCAAAAATAGATTAGAGATCTTAAAGAGGATGGATGTTATCACTTTTAACTTATTAGGTTTTCGAAAGATGATGAATTTATAGAGAAATTGGACTGGTAGCTTTCCTATAGTTTCCATCATTTTTCATTGTTATTCTAAAATTAACTAGAATACGAAACTTAATATGATGTGTCCTATAAGATAAAATCTAATATGAATAGCCAATATTACTAATATATGTATCCACAAATATCAATTCAAACATGCTCGATAAGAATTAGTTATCATTAAAATAGAACCATAAATATATCTCTATAAATAATGATTATTCAGCTAAATTTAACCTAACTTACCTCTTACAAAATGTGAATATGAAGAACACACATTGAAACATGATTTAAATGTAAGACATCATTATTTTTTATGCCTTATAATATTATAAAATTATGTTAATCAATATTTAATAATATTTTAAAAAAATATGAGCATGCATTCAGTCACTTCAGATTCAATCAATTAATTCTCCATCAATAATAATTAGAACCATTTCAATCATAGACATCTAATATATTGGATAAAGTTTCATACCATGTTTTAATTCAGTCTTTTGCATAAAATTCAATATGAAAATCATTAATGTCATGAATAGCAATATTTCGTAATTATTGACATTTCTAACAACTATAAACAAAATAATAGTTTTGAGGGATAAATTCATCAAAAATTCCATAAATTAAAATATGAGACTCAAATACCATCTTTGAAGTACCTTCTTAATATTTTTAATTATTATTCTATATCATCCACGAATTTATACATAACGTATTGTATGCTTGTTTTCAAGAAAATATTAATATACATTTCATGTATTGTGAATAATCAACATAATTGAATATATTTAATCATCTCATATGTTTGTTATCATCATAATCTTAATGCACTTAAAGCCAATACTATTCAGGTTAGGCTTGAGGGTATCTCATTGATAACTATAGTCCTTAGAGGAACAACTATCAATAGTCATATTGATATAAAGTCTACAAAAATTAGGCTACATTTTATCATTCTTAGTGATGTATATTTGGTCTAAATTTAAACATTATATAATAAGCATTTCATCCTAACATCTTAAATAAAAATGGGTTTTTATGTCATATGATTTGTCCTAGTTTCAATGCCATTATTTTTTTTTTGGGTTGACTTTTGCATAAACTATATATCATTTCATATAAGATGTAATTTAAATTATTATTTTAAAAATATATGATTATTTAAATTGGAACCTCTTTCTACCTCAAAAAGTTGCTCCAAATTCTCAATATTCTTCTTTAATGTAAAATTTCCATTCTTCAACTCTTACCTTTAATTTCTAGGTTGCAAAATTTTGTTTGAAAGATTTGGATAATCATTTCAAGCTTTCTTTATTAAAATTTATTTACTTATAAAAATATGTATTTAATTTTTGAAACATTCATTGTCTTTTTAGAGTACTAATGAAACTCCTAAGAATTTTTTTTAATATAACCAAGTTTCAGAATTTGGGAGTAATCCTTAGCGCTCTTATTTTAATTGTTGAAATGTATATTAGTTTTTTATTTAAGTTTCGCATGTTTCTTTCTGCCACAAGATAGAGTTCACTACGTACCCAACTATTTTACGCATTAATTTAACATTGGATTTTCTTATCCTTGATGAGGAATTTACTCGTAAGTTATTTTGAATATCTCTCAAGTTTCATTAGAACTTTGATTGTTTAATGGTCAAAGTTTATTACATTGAAGATATTTAGTGAGTGAAGTGTGGTACTAAGTGAATTTATAGGCAAATGCAAGCTGCTTTTGAGTTTACTCTTGGTAGGCATGGTTCCCTTGCATCAGACCAACATAGTCTTTTGAATATCACCTCTCCAAAGAAAAAATCTAGAAGTTAGTTAAGTATATTTATTTAAATTTCATATATTTTGTAATTTTTTTCGCATATTGATCTATTAGTGACACAAAACTGGAATTTATAAATTCTCTCACGTCAATTTGGTCAACATAAAAATTAGGACAATAAAAGCCAGCAAATGCATTTTTACTGCTGGCTCAAACTCATATTTAATCTAGGTATTTGCTGTTGTACATTATTTTTTACAAAGTATCATCAGCATATTTATCTCTATGTTTGAGTTAATCCAACTATGATTTTATTCACAATTTCATCAAAACTTTATTCCTAAGGCCCAAGTGACTACTATGACACCCCCCGGAACCACTCGACCGGGTTGAACCGGGAGAGAGCCACGTGAGACACACGGAGGGAGGCAGGCGGGCGTCTATCACACGCACAGCAGGGGCGTCGGTAGAGCGAGTGTCCCGGATCTGAAACGGTCCCGTTGGATCTACAAGAGATCCGGGAACAGACGGACGAAGTCGTATGTACGAAGAAGGGAGGATAATTAGGCGGATTACCCGGACTCCGGAAGGCAAGGGAGGATAATGCGGCGAAGAAGGGAAGCTTTGGACGAGAGAGGTCTCTTCGGAGGAGACGAGTGTGCGGATGGTCTTAGCCCCACTCTTTTAAGTGCTCCATCTTTTAGTCATATGACTCACTCATAGTGAAAATGTTAACTACCAAGGCATTAAGTCAACTGTGCGAGAGCTTTACAACTATAACTTGCTTGATAGGAGATGCTTGACGCTAGCTCATTTTTTCTTGACTTATGACTCAACTAAGAGCCTGTACTCTTAATATGTACTTTTAATGATATTTTTCAAGTCATATAAGCTCTTTTAACAAACAAACAAGTTTTACATACACATGAATAAAATTCTTCTTCAGAGATGATGGCATGGGCCTTGGAAGGAAGGAGCATTAGCACTTTTGGTGTAACAAGTGTTGACTATGTTAAGGTGGCACCAGAAAATCAAGAGGGGGGTTACATTGCTATTTTTTAAAACTATTATTAAACTATTAATTATTTTAACATCTAGTCACACAAAAATTATAATGATTCAGTCTACACCATCTGCTCTAATATATAAGGATAATCTCCTTAGTTATAATAAAATTTAGTGATTTATACAAAGTATAAAGACTTCAACAAGTCTATCACTAGATTGAATGGTTTCAACCAATTTAAGTGTTTATGTCCAAAGCCCTTTTATAAATTCACAACTCTAAGTGAATTAAATCAGATTAATATCTTACCAATCTCATTTAGATTCATAGCTCTAATCTAAGTAGAATAAGTGACTTCTTTACTCAAATGAAAAAAAAATTATTCCAATAGAATTACAGAATGTGACCAAGTTAGCATCTTTGTATGAACGATGTGGAAGCTGCTCTTAAAGTAGAAGAATATTTTAGTGTCCACATCTTTTTTTTTATGTTCTTCTTTCTCTTGAGTTCATATGAAACTAGAAGCATTTAATCTTAAATGTCTCTAAGATTTTGTTTGAGGCTTATGGCAAAGTAATTTTATCATCAAAGTATCGATATTTAACATATAAATATATCACAATGCCATGATTTCTCCTTTTTAGTATTTTGTCAACATTAAAGCATTACTATAAGTGAATATTGTCATCATTTTATTCAACATCTTTTAGCCATAGATGTGGGCAATGCTTAAGATTAGGAAGGTATTAACATTCCATGAGAGTTATTCGAATAAAATTTCCCTACTTTGTTCAAGAATTCTCTTAATATACTCCAAACTATGAATTGAATGCATACAATTAGACCCCACATACACATCACTAAAGTCCAAATCGGGAGATGGATAATGTGCTTGTGCAAAAGCAGGGGCAAATACTATCAATCACGAGGCCTGGGTAGGTGAATGCACGTTCTTCCGCAGTTTGACGAAGGCGAGAGAATTAGTGTCGCTTTGCGAGGAAGAGGGCCTGAAGGCCGGGAAGCGGCCGTGGTGGGGCCGGAGAATTGTGGCTGTGAGGCGCCGGTGCGAGAGGGGCCGACATTACAGGTATGCTCGTACTGGGTCGTCGCGTAGAACAGGCGATCGTCGACCGTCCGCTCGTCATCTCCTCTGGGGCCACAATCTCTCGGTTCCACCGCAGCGATGATCGAGGGCAGCAATGGGACAAAGTAGTTGGTGATCAATGCCCTGGTTTTGTTCGAGCCACCAGCCGAGAGAGGTAGATCGAGGTAGATCGAGGTAGATCAAGGATTGTGAATAGAGCGCCGCGAGGGGTGCTGGGAGCCGGAGGGCATGATGGTGATGATGGCCGCGCGAGTCGCTACGGTGACCCGCATCCCGACTCCGTCCTCGTCCTCATCGTCGGCCTCTTCCAAGGTCGATGTTTCTCCCAGGACTCCGAGGCGGCTGAAGGCGCCGACGCTGCCCCAGCCGTCAGCAATGGTGTCGGCGACGTCCGTTTCTCTCCTTGCGCTCTTCTCCGCGCCCAGCAGCAGCTTCAACGAAGCCAAGGCCTTCACCTTCGCCAGGGAGGAAATTCTGTCTTCCCTCACCCAGGTCTGTGACCGAAAAGCCCCTTTCCCTTTTTGCATTCCTCAAAGACGCTTTCTTGATTTAAATCTCCCAGCCTTGTGGGTATGTTTTATATTCCTCATCGCAATTCCTAGAGGTCAAGATGGAGTCCCACATTGGGGGATTCCTCCGGCCGTAGCTCTGATTTTTAATGCCTCTGGTTCTGTCTTGGCGAGGTGTCCCGCCGCACCCCGTTTCTTGCTATTTTTCGCTCAAGCTGCGAATGGTTTAAACAGGTAGAGAATGCACTGGATAAGGTGGAGGCAGCCACTTTGAAGGCTTCGGAATTCATCGAGACTATTATTAAGTTTGTAAATGACACTTTGAAGCCAGCTGGCGAGGTGGTACTGCCAGCAGTGACAAAGGCAGGAGAGGACGCAATAAACGTTGCCACGCCAGTGGTTTTTAGTGCTTCAGATCTAGCCAAAGAGGCACTCCTGGGCGCTGGAATCGATCCCGCTCCTATTATTTCCACCTTTGAGGTTCATCATTCTTTCTCTGCCAAGATTTTTATTCTATTGAATTCTTAACGTACAGCTTGCAAAACACTGTTTTGAATCATGTCATGTGATTTTTCTTCATTCAGTTGTGTGTGGACGATCGATATCATATTGAAAATACTTTTCATTTGCATGTTTTTTGGAAGGATAATGACAGTTATTAATGGCTAGAAACAATGTCAATCAATGGAAAAACTGTTTGTCACCCATCTTACTAGCCCTAACTCCAGGTTAATATCATGAAGAAAATAGGATATTGAAGAAAGATTTATCCAATTAGATAACCTTTTTTTTCTGGCGCGATATTACCTGACAGTGCTTCTTTTGATCAACAGACAGTTTCTGAAGCAGCAAAACAGTTTGCAAGTGTTGTAGAAGCTGCCAAACCCATCGCATCATCAGCCGTGGACACAATCTCATCAACAGATCCTGCAGTGCTCGGTGCATCATCTGGAGGATTGGCACTTGCTTACTTGCTTTCCCCACCAGTGCTCTCGGCAGTATCTTCCAATTTCAGGGGTTACAAAGGTATACATCATTCAATTCTTGCACATGCACTTGTGGGAAAGTGATCTAGAAATCAGTTAAAGCCTTTGATAGATGTTTTGCATAGCCTGAATGATGATTTTATAACATTACCCCATGGATGATATTTTGATCATGTTTATGGGTACAACTGCATTATGCTATGCTTTCTTGAGACTGTGTGTTCTTCGATTTTCTTTTTGGATTCTGTTTCCCAGGTTAGTTATATTACGATGCCTTCTTTGCAATTTTGATGCTGAAACAAATAGTTTATCTTCTTGTGTTGTCAGAATAAAATAAAAAAAATCGTATCAATGTGGAGCTAACCAGGATGAAAGACCCAATCGTTAGTAATTATGCGATTAATTATGAGTTGGGTCTTAATGGACCTTTTGCCTGGTTATTATTGGTTGAATTTGATTTAATTTGTGAAATATATTTTCTTATCAAAACATGCCTTTTGAAACATTCGGAGGTGATTACAAATTGCAGAAAACCCATGATTTTTTTTACTACTGAAGATATCTTGGCCAATAATTGTCACTAGTGAAGATCTCTTATATGATCAGTAGGCTAGAAAAAGTTATGGGCCAGTTATTACTTGTCAGAAAATCATGTGATCACTTATGAAATGGGTTTCCCAGATATTATTGTTCGAATTCGGTCAATTTTGTGGAACATATATTCTATCAACCTAATTTCTTAGAGATCCAATTTTGACTGCACATGGCAGAAAAACCATGGTTTTTACTATGATTTCATTGGCTTATTTGAGGAAATTCAAATTCTCCTTCCCGAAAATTGAAGGAAACGCTGCCACTATATGTGAGGGTCATTGATGTTCTGCTTTCTTTAGGTGACCTCAGCCCGGCCCAAACTTTGGACCTGGTTTCCTCCCAACAATATCTCCTGATTGACATAAGGTCGGAGGACGACAAGGCCAAGGCTGGTGTTCCTCGCCTTCCTTCCAGCGCGAAGAACCAGCTGATCTCAATACCGTACATGATTTTACCGAGCATGAATTATCTCCTTATTTCTCATCATCCGTGAGTGGATAAGGATCACAATAAATCTTTGTTTCACCAGTCTGGAACAACTCCCGAGCAAGACAAGGAACATAGTTCGAGATGCGAAGAAGGCGGAGGCGGATATTGCTGCACTGAAGATCTCTTATCTCAAAGGAATCAACAAAGGTTCAAACATCGTGATCATGGATTCGTGAGTCTTCTTGCCCCATTAGCCCATTTTTACCTTCCAGAAAAAGAAAAAAAATAAAAATCATATGTTCTAATTCTGCTGCCCGTCTCTGCTTCCCTCAATTGGATTCCATGGAGGATGAGAAGTAGCCTACTTCTATCATCTTAAGAAAAGTAAAAAAAAATAAAATGCAAAAAAATAAAAAAATCTAATACCTCTGGCATTCTCTTCTTCTCTTACTTGGAATCCATGGAGGATAACAGCTAGCCCATATTTGGAACCCATGGAGGATGAGAGGCAGCCTATTTTATCATCTAAAAAAATTATTATTTTCTATTCTAACCCCATTTAATTATTTAAAAAATGGAGGATGGGGAACCGATTTCATGGAAACTCTGGGATCTGATCTCTTCCTTGTGGATGCGAAGGTACTCTGATTCTGCGAAGATTGTGGCGAAGACATTGACGAGCCTCGGATTCGGGAACTGCTGGGTTATGTCGGATGGCTTCTCAGGGGGCAAAGGGTGGCTTCAGAGCCGCCTGGGCTCAGATTCATACGACACCTCCGTTGTGGAAGTCCTCTCGCCCTCTCGGATTATCTCCGCCGCTAGATCTTTCGGGACCACCGGCTCCACGCAATCCAGTGGGAATCTCCTCCCTGGGAGTGTTGATAGTTGATCCGTAGTGGAATAATATTATTATAAATTCCTTTTCTTTTTTTCCTCCATTTGGAATCTCTCTGGAGTCGGTCTGTTTATTTTGGGGAACCCTAAACTGATCTGTCCTCTGTCTTGACCATATGCTTTTTTAGCCTTTGGAATAGCCCAGCTCTATATTTTTTTGCGGGAACAATGAGATTTGCCCACTTGACCATCACTGCTAGAGCTCTATCTGTGCTTCCCAGGGCGACAATTGGCAGAAACCAGCGTGGAATTCTTGTCGAGGGGGCTCCACGTGGCAGGAAAAAAATGACTTTCTGCCAGATGGCACTGAAACCAGAGCTGGGCTGGGCTTGGATTGGATGTGCTAATAGACGCAAATGATGTGGCACTGAGCTCTCTCTCTCTCCCTTCTCTATCTATCTCTAAGAGTGAAGAGTTTAACAGGGATCGCAGAGGATACTTTTCTGCTGTTTGGCAGTTAGTTTAACCGGAATCAGGCCGAGTCGACCGGATAAGAGCCGGTTTTAGAGTCGAACCAGAAGGGGACCGAGTCAGACTGATGATAGCCGGGTCCGAGCCGGGGTTAGAGCTGAACCGGTTCCAGGCCGGGCGGATCTGATAAGACCGGGGTCTACGTGGCGCAGATCCGATTAACCTGCAACAGAGTTCCGTTAACCACCGCGCCACCTAGCGGGAGTCGACCATCGGCCGGCGTAGGAAGCCGACACCCCCCATCTCGCCGGAGACGCGCCGGCGGGCGGCGCTGCGGAGTTCGACGGGATGGCGGCGTACAAGAAGCTTGAGGAAGTTTCCACGGAGGATATCTCCGCCGCCGGTGTGCCGCCGCGCGAGGCGGCGCGAGTCAACGGCGAGCTCCGGAGGATTCTACAGGAGACACAGGATGATGCGGAGGAGACTTGGCGGCGCGTCTCGAGTCGGGTCCTGAGGCCCGAACATCCCTTCCCGCTCCACCAGATGATGTTCTACGGCTGTTACAAGGACTACGGCTCTGATACCCCGCCGGCCTGGATTCCCGACCCGTGAGCTTTCCCTCCCCGTCCCGACGGGTTAATTTTGTCCGGAAACTGGAACGCACCGCGACATAGTGATAACTTAGCGGGACAGGTGTATTTTTAGTTCCATGAAAGGTTTTTTTGGTTTGGTTCCTCTGAAAGTGTTCGACTTTGTTCGTTCGGAATATTTTTCACTGAGACGATGTAGTCTCTCTGCCGGAGTTTTGATGTCTCTGATGATTATGGCCTGCGTAACGAAATTTGACTGTTGAATTTCTGCCGACTAGCTGGAAACTTTATATCAGTTGGACGAGGAAAAAATCAGTGGTGTGTTCCTTGCCTACTTCCAAATTTCAACTGGCAAATGTGGTTTACCATTTAGTGAGAAAACGAGGGAGAATAACCTTTTATCAATCTACTCTTTGTTTTCTTCTACGGGGTATCTGAGTCATCATCTATTCGAACACTAGAGCTTTCTCTCCCCTATGGTCACAGCTAACGCGGCAGATACACTTACAGGGACACTGCATTCTCAACAAATATTGGTCGTCTATTGCAAAGATGTGGGAAAGAGTTTCTGGGTCCAGGATACAAGGATCCTATCTCAAGTTTCCTTGACTTTCAAAGATTTTCTGCATCAAACCCTCAGGTATTACTAATTGAACTTTTACATCCTGTTCCAAAGGTCAGACTCTGTTTTGACGTACCACTGATTCGTTCTAGTAGGTTTACTGGACAACGCTGTTGGATGAGATGGGAATCTCGTTCTCAGTGCGCCCCACTTGTATTCTAAAAGAAGACAGTTCACACCCTGGGGGACAGTGGCTTCCCGGTGCTGTCTTGAATGCTGCTGGAAATTGCTTGAATTTGAATGGTAAAAGAAGATTAGATGATGTTGTAATTATATGGCGTGATGAAGGATATGATTCCTCGCCGGTGAACCACATAACATTAAATGAACTTCGGACTGAGGTTAGGTACGTTACTTATGCTGAAAACTATTTGCTTATCATTATTAATGTTACATAGTTTTTTATGGCTGTTTTAATTCCTATATGTTTACTGGCTGAAGCTGTCCTGAGCTGGATATACTTCGGTGCCTAAATTTGTATAGTTCCTGTTTGTACATGTACTATTCTTTATTTCTGTTAAAATATTTGTGGTTCAAAGTGAAAACTCAAGTTTCCATTCTCACGTGTTCAACTGTAATGGGACATCTTTGCCATGTATATGTAAGAGGGAAGCTGGAATGCCTTTAGAAACTTACATGCAGGAAGATCCCATCTATTCTCCGTGCATATATACGAAGATATACCAAAAAATTCTCAAGCTTTTGTTCCTGATGGAAACTTACATGCAGGAAATTTGCATTAGATATTTTACTACTTTGGTCCTGATGGATTATCCTATCTGCGCTCCGTGCATTGTTTCTTTCTGCTTTTTGTCATGTGGAAACTGTGCTCTTATAGAGTGAAAGATTGCTTCATCAACGAAACAAAAATTCATGTAATATTAACAGATAATTTATTTTTTAAGGATAAGAATACCACATGCCTGTAGTTATTTACAACGAACATTGATTTGTGCTAACCGCAATGGTTGTTTCTGCCTCTTGAATATCCTCACCTCGTTTGGAGCTCAATTCCTTAATTGAATATGCGGTTAAAAAAAATTGAAATTCCCTCTATGTAAAACTCCTGTGATTAACCCAAACAAACGTTCAGATCTATACCACATACATTCATTATCAGAGGGCCAGTTGGGACGGTAAGATTTGGATTTTGTAAAGTTCATTATTGGAGGGGTAAAGGAAGAAGAGGACAGGAAATGAAAAATGAATGGAGAAAAGGACCTGAGAGAAGTGTTAGGTGCCTGCCTAGAAGAAAAATGGAAAGTTTCTTGGAAGGTCTGGTTCAGATAGAGCCGAAGCAGAATTGCATGGAAGTCATTAAACCTATCTATCTCTGTTTGTCAACTCATGTCTAACGTATCTATATATATATATATCAGTAATGTGACGACCTTAGTTGGGAGGAATTTTCTAGATGTCTCGTTTGAACTATGGAAAACTGTATTATTTATCTTTGGGGATCCTTCCTTTAATATTGTGGACTTCTTAAAAGCTATCCGCCTGCGGTTGTTACCGCAAGGTGATATAAGCTGTGGATTTGTTTTTTCGCCTCTTCAAAGTTTTCAATAATAAGGTATGTTTTCTTCTGGTCATAACACTTGGATACTATGTGCGTATCACTTCACCTTTTATAGTCGCCACAAGGTGATATAGCCAATGTTTTTATTTTTTCACCTTTTGAAGGTTTTCAATTTGAAGAAATATCTTCTCTGGTCACCAATTCAGGCTATATTTTATCTCTGAGCACATCTGTGCTTCGTCTAACGTTACGTTTACCCACAAGATCATTATAATTAGACATTTTCAGAGAAAACGCATTGTCAAGCAATCCTATGTTTTAAGTAGGATTTAGGCCGGCCAAAAGTCAAGGGTATTGTTGAAACATTCGTACATTAATTTCATCATTATATAACTCATATATTCAAGCTTCCTCCAAACCATCGCTTCTTATGCCTCTTTGCTTGAAACATTGGTACTGTTTATTATTGCAGCGTGGTCGCCAAAGCCCTTGAAACATTGGGGCTGCCCAAAGGATCTGCTGTTGCGATAGACATGCCAATGACTTTCACTGCTGTAGTTATCTACCTAGCAATTGTTGCAGAGGGCTTTGTGGTTGTGTCAATTGCTGACAGCTTTGCTCCCATTGAAATATCAACAAGAGTGAAGATATCAAACGCTAAGGCAATTTTCACCCAGGTACGCGTTAAATTTCATTTTTGCTAGTTCTCTATGATAAGTGTTATTAAAATTTCTTGCATTTTCTGTACTCTGCCTGTAGTTTTTACCCAGAAGTACCTAACTAATTCGTTATCGTCATCAAGTTGAAGACAGTCTTATTTTTTGTAATAGATGTGAAGGTTATCTATACTAATTATATCATAGTGATTTGGAATAACACTTCATTATTTAAGGGGATTTTTTTTCATTATTTTTTCTATTTTTTAAATAAAATGGCGCTTTAATAATACAGGCTTAGATATTGAAATGTTTTACAACATAGTATATCATTTGATATGTGTTGTGCTAACTGTTTGACAGTTAACCGTAGCCTATAATATGTGTGTATTTATTATTCAGACATCTTCCTTGATTTATTTGTGTTAAATTTGTGTAGATACGATCTTCCTATGCTTAATAAATTCACCTTTCTAGGATTACATTGTCCGTGGTGACAAGAATATACCCTTGTACAGGTTGCAACATCTGCCCAGAAAGGTTTTTTTTCACTTCTTGGGATTCCTTTGAATTAATTTTATTGATTCTAATATCACTTGTTGGTTTAATCAGTAGAGTTGTAGATGCTGATTCTCCATCAGCGATCGTGGTTCCCACTAAAGGTTTCTCCTTCAGTAGAAAGTTGCGAGACGGTGACATTTCTTGGCATGATTTTTTAGAAAGAGCTAAAAACTCCAAGTATGCTTATCTACCACATATGCTTTTATTTCCTTTAGTCATTCTTTAATTTGCACTTGCTTAGATACTGAGTCTGGTACCTTCTCTTCTTCTTTACTGTCGACTTGTACAGCTGTTATACCTTTGAAACCTTTGATCCATTAGGCATTTAAGAGAATCCGGAAGTATGACATCGGAAATAACTTTCAGGATAGAGGCTTTTTTGGATTTAGCTAAAAATTCCTATATTGGTTGTCTGGTGGTTGGATTTACATTTAGTTCGTATCAGATGGATTATATATCAATTAATATTCTTATATTTGACGATGAATCCATGCTAAATCAAATTCCTTCCACTGGCTTAGCTTTGTTGTGAATAATCAATAATTTCACTACTAGAATGTACGTGACATGCATTATAAGTTTTGCAATCGTGTAGCAAGAACCATATGATGTGGGACAATATCATATAGGACAATAGGTGACTTCGGACACCATTTTTTAAATTATAATGTTGTTTGGAATGTGAACATCCTTCTCTGTATAGTGAAATAGAGAATGAAGGGAGCCACCGAGCCTCAGTAAATCATCTGGGCTATGAGAAACTAAAACTTCTTGTTGGTAAGGATACCTTTCGAGAGTATCTGGAATACAGTATTCTGGATACAAATGTAATACATAATCAATTCTTTTGTTGTTATGCGACTCTGAATACAGATAGAGATCTGTTTATTTTTCCCTAAATGATGATGTTATGCGACTATGAATTCTTTTGTTGAAGCAAACTCATCTTGGGTTTAAATTGTAAAAATTGGTGTAACTATGTGGAATGTGTCAGTTGTAGCAATCGATTGCTGTTGCAGAGTGTGGAGAGGCCGTCCGCTATTATACCTGTTGTAAGTGGTGAGGGCAATAATTTTAGGTGGTTGATAGTGATGGCAGCAGCAGATGGTTCACGGTTGTCATGTTGGGGTGGAGTATTTATGTTAGTTCATATTATTTTATTAAAATATTAATTTTTTTCTTAAATGAAGCCTTTCAATTCATGTATTTTATCATGTCAGAGAGAGAAAATCGAAACCTAATGGAAAAAATAAGAATTTATGTCTAAGAGCATGTTCTTCCAGGCATTTAGAATGCTTTCCTTTTGGATAAAGGATTTTAAAAGTTAAGGAAATGATATTAAGACATTGCTATGACCATATTAAAAACACAAAAAAAATGTACCATAAACTTGTCGAATGTGACTGGGTATAACTTTAAGTGAACATGAGGTATTATCAATGGTTACCGTTGCTCTCAACGTGAGGGAACTAGGTGTATCATGAAAACTGTAAGTTAATGTTATTATTAAACTCAAGTGATGATGATGTTACTTGTCATTATTACAGGTCTTAATAAGGTATGTGTTCCGATGTCAAATGAAAACTTACAGCATCGCGTTACCCCATTTGGTGATTATATTTCATTTGCGTATAAGTTTTTAGTGTACCATCCCAAAACTCTGAAGTGCATTTTGCATGTGAAACTTGCAGAATCAAGAACTATGCTGCTGTTGATGCACCTGTTGAGGCATTCACAAACATCCTTTTTTCTTCTGGAACCACTGGTAACTTATGCAACCTAACACAGAGTTTGTTGATGCTTAATATTTTGCATACATCTTTGTTTGTGGGATAATGACGTGGAAAATAAGCTTTGTATGAAAATCCATAAAACCACTTCACTTTGGTTTACACTATTTCTGATTTTCTGAACTGGAAGAAAACCCTCTTTTGCTGATTCTGGAATGACCTAATTTTGTATCACATCTAGCAGAAATTTCCTTGGTGTACTACAGTTAAACGAAGAACACTCTGTAAAAAGCGAACTATAATGAATAATATTATATTCTCTTGTTCAAAAAAATTCAGAAGATTCGTTGTCATTAAGAAATATCCCTGAGGATCATCACCGACTTTGTTTGCAGTTGTTTTTGTTTTCTGAAAGCGCTTACGAAGCTTTTATTTTTGTAGGAGAACCAAAGGCAATTCCTTGGACGCATGCTACACCTCTCAAGGCTGCCGCTGATGCTTGGTCTCACATGGACATTCGTAAAGGGGATGTTGTTGCTTGGCCTACAAACCTTGGATGGATGATGGGACCATGGCTTGTTTATGCCACTTTAATCAACGGTGCTTCTATGGCTTTATACAATGGGTCACCGCTTGGTCATGGATTCGCCAAGTTTGTGCAGGTAGCATTGGTTACTGTCAGTGACTTTGGATAAGAATAAAACTTGTTTTATCAACAAAATTTCATTTATTCGAGCTTCTTTTTTAGAGTGAAAACCCCCTGTTGCGTTACTTTTCTTTAATCTGACGAAGATATGAAGTGCATTAAAGAAACATTTCTATATTAAAGAAATAATTCGGAAATTTCTTTCGTGACACCAGAAAATTTCTCACTGATGTGCCTCGTGTTCTCAGAAATGTGTTGGATAATCATTACTAGGAACTTTTGCATTCTCCAATTGCATGCGGATCCACATCCTCTCTTTATTTTCTAGAAATTGCGCTGACAGATGCTAGTAGGACAAATAAACAGGCCAATCAATAATATTTGAGAAGTTCACGATTTTTTCTTCCCCCCTTAGCAAAAAGAGATTTTAGCAACCCTATAGGTAGCTAAAGTCCCGCAGATGCCTTTTTTGAAATGGCATCGTTGTGTATGTTGTTGGGCCTCCTATGCCTACTTTTTCTTTGCCTTCATGGCTAAGCACTAAACTATTTTAGAGAGCACTGTAAAATCATTTATGGCTGACATTCGTACTACTATATCGTTTATACTGCATTTTATTTATGAAAGCACATTATATGTAGAGTCTGAAGGCCTCCTCATATGCGTTACCCCGGCCAAGTTGTCCTACCCTCATATCTGAACATGCGCGTGATCATTTTAATTTTTAGTGAAAAATAGTCGATTCAGTATGGGCATGTATATTAATTTTCTTCAAAAGTTGATAAAATCATCATTTTCTAGTATGCGTACGAATTTTCTCTCCCTCTCTTGGTTATTCTTTTCTCTTCTGCGGAATCTCTCATTGACTGCAGGAGAGTCTCACTCCTACCACTAAATACCACTTGACATGGCTTACTACCATGTCTTACATTATCGCAGAACAGAAAGGAAAATTTCATTCATTTCTGTGTAATTTTTTTCCAATCTTAAAAAAATTATAATTTGGTTATTAACATTTTTGGAGAGCTATGGACTCAGAAATGGGGAAGAAATAATTGAACAAAAGTCAATAGGTATAAAAGCACACAAAAGAGACTATTTACCTTACCCCAGATCATGGAGAACCAGGATTGGTGAAACCAGCTGATTCCTGATAGAACAGCAAGCAGACCCGGCGCATTATTATTAAGAAAGCAGAAAACACTCTGTCAATCGAAATCACTTTGTTGGGGAGTCAGAAGCTTGGCCAAAATACTGAATCCCCTTAGAAATTAGAGTGCTGCTAGAGGTTCATGGAGCGTAGGCACTTGTCTGTTCAAATCCTTGGGTGGTATGGTGATGGGTGATAGTGGTCTTGAACTGATGTTCGAGTTATAGGCCGAACTTCATAAAGGAACATTATTATTAGCTATAAGGACAGGGGTAAGTAGCTGTACAGGTCAAGAATAGCCTGCTTTGTGAATATATAATTAGTATTCAGTGTTTCTCAATCCTTTGAATCCCGCTCTTGGATTATTATTGATATTGAGATGAAACTTATGAGTGTTTCCAAATATAACCACCAGTTCTTCACATGCTTTTGTAAAATCTCATGGGTCCTCTGAAGCCTTGTTGAGCGGAACTTGGTCAAGATATTGATAAACAGTTGGGAATGTGCAGCCATTCTTATGGGAATGACTCTGTTGTTGACGATGCAATCTAAATAGACGCGTCTATGTTGGGAATCGAGTGCACTCTATCACTTCACTGAATAAATCTATTCAGGAATTTTCTTCTACATACGAGACTAAGCTCAAATTCGAGAATTAATTTCTTAGGGATACTAAACTTCGGCTTCTTTGGTCTGCATTAACCCCCTTTGCTGACTTCCTAGGACGCCAAGGTCACGATGCTGGGTGTTGTTCCCAGTATTGTGCGTACCTGGAAAAATACAAACTGCACTGCGGGCTTTGATTGGTCTTCCATTCGGTAAGATCATCCAAGAGGTTTTTTTAAAAAAGGAATGTTACTTTTTAGGGCATTACTTTGATGTGATGTATCTGATCTTCGTTCTTCTCGAAAACTAATAGATGCTTCAGCTCCACTGGGGAAGCATCAAGTGTCGAAGAGTACCTCTGGCTTATGGGTAGAGCTCACTACAAGCCTGTGATCGAGTACTGCGGTGGGACAGAGATCGGGGGAGCATTTGTTTCTGGCTCATTGTTGCAGTCTCAGTCGCTGTCTTCTTTCAGCACACCAGCTATGGGCTGCACTTTGCTGATCCTAGGCAGTGATGGGAACCCTCTGGTAAGCGTTTCTGACCTCCATGGTGTCTTCTTCTCGCAGGTAGTCTTCATGGTTATCAAAGTAGACATGCGATGCGCAATTGAGCTAATATATCTTCTTCATGAGCAGTGGCTATTTCCATTATTCGACCCTTTCTCCAATTAGAAATAGCATTCTAAATTTATGCACTTCCCCGTCATACCCATTAATCATATTTGTCTTCTTTCCAAACTCCACCATCATCCAAGAAAATCTGAAATCCCGTTTATATGATCAGCATCTGTTAATATTCTTTACCTGTTTCTCCGACTAGAGATGAGAATTTCGCTCAAGAATCACAAGCCCAGGCCATGTAGCCTGACTCTGTTCTACTCTTGTCTGCAGCCACAAGGCGCGCCGGGAATTGGGGAGCTGGCGCTCTTCCCCACCATGCTTGGGGCATCGACCAGGTTACTGAATGCTGACCACTACAATGTCTACTTCCGGGGGATGCCGGTCTGGAATGGGAAGGTGATGATCTCCATTCAGTTCTCTGAATCCCCTTCTTCATCCTGCTCAATCGCTCTTCCAATGCAGACCCTTCGGCGACATGGAGATGAGTTCGAGAGAACGACTTCTGGATACTACAGAGCCCACGGTCGCGCAGATGATACAATGAACCTCGGCGGCATCAAGGTGGCTACTGATATGGTGTAGACTTCCTAGTTTTTCTTGATCTTTGTGGTCCTCTGTTCCCCACTGCCCTTTTTCCTTCAATCAGGTAAGCTCCGTTGAGATTGAACGCATCTGCAATGAAGTGGATGGCAATGTTCTTGAGACAGCGGCGATAGGGGTGCCGCCGTTGGGCGGTGGTCCTGAGCAGTTGGTCGTTGTCGTCGTCTTCAAGGAGCAGAAGCACTCGGAGGAGACTTTGGGCCACTTGAAGGCTGCATTCAACTCATCACTCCAGAAGAAGCTGAACCCTCTTTTCAGGGTAGCTTTATCATACTCTCTCTCTCTCTCTCTCTCTCTCTCTCTCTCTCTCTCTCTCTCTCTCATACCCTCTTTCATGATTCAATGCAGGCCTCGTCTGTGGTGGCTGTCCCTGCTCTTCCCAGAACAGCATCAAACAAAGTCATGAGAAGGCTTTTGAAGCAGCAGTTCGTGCAGCGTAACCAAGTTGCGAAGTTATGAAGAATCATTCACTGTCCCGAGAGGAAATATGTAGAGAAAAATAACGAGAGTGGAATAGTTCCCACGGGGAATCGGATTATCACGAGAGATTGATGAGCTCCTAGGTGACCCACCCCTCTTGGCTGCACCACGCAGGAACGCATTCGATCATTCGCTTTCTCTCTGATTTAAGCCTAGTTATGTTGTCTACTTCAACTCTAGTCCAATAATGCATAAATCAAACGTAAGTTATGGGGCAGATTGTGAGGAAATCTCCTCTTCCTGATAGATATTTAAATATATATATTATTTTTTTCCATACATAAAGAATGAGCTTCATGATGGGGAAGGCTCTAACCATGAGAAGCACTGTGCCTCCATCTCTACTTTCTTTCACATGACTTAGCCGAGTGAAGTTTCTAGTTTCTGCTTGAATCATGTCTGGTCTGCAATCTGGTCTAGATCCATGCCTTTGACCTACTCGAGCAATGGGGCTTGTAGGTGAATAATGGCTATGATTTTATTCATCTAGCACTTCGTTGGTTCATGTGCTTCTCAAGGATGAACAATAAGCATGAGAGAATGATTGGATTCACGTGGGTAGGAAGTGTTCTTTGTGGGAACATCAATGTAGATCGATCCTCGCCCTGTTAGGAGCATGAAAATGGTTTTTTGTTACGAATGGTACGTAAATTGTATATGCGTAATGTTTACTGAGGAGCCCGGACGAGGGACAGCAGCGACTGGACGACGTACGTGAAGAGAGAAGAGACTGTAGTCCGGAGAGGTGCGGCCATGGTTACTGCGGTGGCGGCGGAGCAGGAGGAAGGGGAGGAGGAGAGGCTGCTGTTCCAACTCACGTCGGCCGTTGGCTTCTCCAGTAGCGCTTGTAGCTGTCGCGCCGGCCGCTGCGGACGGCGCAGCAGCCGACGGAGTAGACGAGTACGAGCAGGGCGAGCAGGCCAAGGTTGAAGATGGCGAGGAACTTCCACTCCGCCTGGAGGTTCGCGAGGACGCCGGCCTTGCAGGAATTGCACCCGAAACAGAGCCTCTCGGGCTCATTGCGCCACCGCTCGCAGTCGCCGTCGTCGGAGAGGACGGGGAATTGCCGGCCCTTGCGATGGCACCCCGCCGGCGGGTTGCAGCACCCGGACTGCACACATACCAGCAGGGGGGGAGCTCCCACCGGTCATGATCGGAGAATCGAGGAGAAGTAGGAGGATGAGGAGAAGAAAGAGAAAGACTGACCTGGGTAGGAGAGAGAGTGGTCTTGTAGAAGGCGGAGGGGTCCAAGGGGAGGGCGTGGAGAGGGCCGCCGCAGACCTTGGCGTCCTTGAGGCAGCTCTCGATCTTCTCCCAGTGGCCGGCGTGGGTCACCATCCGCCGCAGCCACCCGGAGTAGTCGCCGAGGCGGAACTCGCCGACGCCGTGGCCGGAGACAGCGGCGGCGGCGCCCTTGTTGGTGACGACGAAGGCGAGGGCGGTGAAGCAGGAGACGGCGAGGATGAGAAAGAAGGTGACGGCGAGGTAGAGCCACAAGATGCAGGAGGCGCGGCAGCAGGCACCGATGATGCCGAGGAGGGAGACGGCGAAGAGCGAGGCCCCCAGCAGGAGCAGCGGCGCCTGGAGGAACTGGTCGCAGACGGTGGAGAGATCGCCGCCGGCCTTCCACGCCCACAAGCCCAGCACCATCAAGGAGATCGCCATAATCCCCGCGTTCAGCACCCCCACCACCGCGTTGCTGCACCCGCAGAAGCACCCCCGCCCCATCTCCTCTCTCTCTCTCTGTCTACAGGCGTGAGGAGGAAGAAAGAGGTGAGACGGAAGGAGAGAGAGAGAGAGAGAGAGGGGGGGAAGGTCATTTCATCGTCGTCGCCATGCATGCACCGTCCACCTCAAGGAGCCTACTCGCCTATTCTGAGCACCCCAAAATATTCTTCTACCTTCTGGACCACCCATTCAAAAACCAACTGATATTTCGAGGTTTAAATGCCAACAGAGAGATGGAGAGAGAGCGCGAGAGAGAGAGGGAGACAACCTTGGAGAGTCGAAGCTCAAAATATTCTTCACAAGTAAATACCTTCTGGACCACAAATTCAAGAACCAACTCCTATTTCAAACGTTTATATGTTAACAGAGATAGAGAGAGAAAGCGAGAGAGGGGGACCACAGTTGAGAGAGTCGAAGGCGTCGTTCTATCTCATCGTGGGACTTGGGGAATGCTGCTCAGCGAGGACCTCACCTTCTCCTGGATTTCCAAGCTGCCATCGAAGGTCAGGTCCTTCAAGGTGCCCTGCAGGTACTTGTCGTAGGAGGTCAAGTCGAAGTGGCCGTGGCCGCACATGGCCATGAGGATGACCTTCGATTCTCCGCTCTCCCTGCAGAGTTTTGCCTCCCTGATTACGGCGGCGATGGCGTGGGTCGGCTCGGGCGCCGGGATCACCCCCTGGGTCCTCGCAAAGCTCAGCGCAGCTGCAAGACGGAAAAAAAAAACAGAATCTTCAAAAATGTAAAGTGAACCCAACGACGAAATCCCGTCGCCGGAAGAAGAATCGGTTGATCTTCTGCGCTTCCGAGATATCGATAATGCTTCAAGGTGCTTCGATCCGATTCTAGTCCCTTCGTCCGCAGATGAAACTAAACTAATGGGGTGAAATTTTGTGGAGTGGGTTGAACCTCACCTCCCTGACAAGAGATAGGATAGGACCTTCAAGGTGGAGGAGACGAGTTCTACAAATAATTTATCATCTGTCGCTTTTCTTTTGAAAATTGCAGAGCTGGTACAATCCTCTGCTGGATTTTTATTCCTTCATTATTAATGCAGGAATTTTTCTTTATTTATTCGAAAACATCAAATAAATAAATAAAAAGCCTTTTTTTTGGTTACTTTCTATGTATGGTACATGAACAGAGTCAACTGCTAAGAGATTGAAGGGATGCTTGCTAAAGTGTCAGTTAATGGCATCCCGAACAGATATTTTCTAGAACATAGTTAGTTGATAAAAGTGCTTTCTAAAACAGATATGTTCTACAAGCATGTCAATAAGATGGGGGAAAAAACGCGTAGTTTTGAGTTGGACCGTTCGACATAGTTTGAGCGCTGTCAAAGACGCAGAGAGTTGCAGAGTATTCAAGCTACACAGGTTGGATGGAAACAATTACCTCAAATGGTCCCAACATGTTCTCACTGTGCTAAAAGGGGAAGGGATAGTCAGCTAAGAACGGAATCCTCGGTTTGAGAAATGGAATGAGGAAGATTTTATGATTATCCCATGATTATGCTAGAGATGCAGCGCAAGTCTATGAGGCTAAGGTAGAGACAATTGCTGCAGAAAAGGGAAGTAAAACAGCCACAAAATATGCTAATAAGTTGAAGGTTTTGAGGCAAGAACTTGACCATTATAAGCTGATTAAAACCAGATGTCCTGAGGATACAGCAGCTATTCTGCAGGATTTCATTGAGCAAAGAAAGAATTCATGATTTTCTTGTTGGCCTTAATCGGGAATTTGATCAAGAGAAAGAATTCAGATTCTCAGCAAGCAGGAGTTCCATGATTTAATGAAGTTGTGGCACTGATTGGAACCAAAGACAAACAATGGATAACTAGGCTATGGTGGCTAGAGGTGGCGGTCATTGAACCTCAAACGTGGGAAGAGCACAGCCATGATCATCACCGAGGAAGATTCCTGTGGCGCACTTGCTGCAAAAAGCCAGGCCATACTCGTGAATGATGGAAACATTTACCTTCAAAGCATTCAGTCTGAGGAATTGCAAGAGCCTCCATGAAACCCAGCTCATAGATATGTGAGAGCAGCGGTGCCATTCCATGATAACGCAGGCCACCTGCAGCACACAGGATTCCACCGTTCATTAGGTCACAACCAGAGGAGATGGTGGAGCATATCTCTTGCATCACGCTGTGAAGGTGGGAGTGCTACCAGCATGAATTGGGTCAGGAATGAAGTCATGTCCGAGCGTGTGCATCTTCATCAATGGAGTCATGCCCGCTGTATCACCAAAGTCGTATGCGTAAATGCCTCTTGTGAGGGAAGGGCAAGCCGTCGGTTCAACAGCTCTGATGACGGGATTGATCTTGCCCTCCATCTTCTCCCGGATGAAAGGAAATGTGAGGCCTGCAAAATTGGATCCACCCCCTGTGCAGCCAATGATCACATCTGGGGTCTCTCCCATCTCCTCCAATTGCTTCAAGCACTCCTCCCCAATGACGGTCTGGTGGAGGAGAACGTGATTCAGAACACTTCCCAGGCAATATTTAGTATCAGATCGAGCTGTGGCGACTTCGACGGCCTCTGAGATTGCGATCCCCAAGCTCCCAGGGCTCGAGGGATCCTGGCTGAGGATCTTGCGGCCAGCTTCGGTGAGAATGGAAGGAGAGTGGTGGACCTTGGCCCCCCAGGTTTCCATCATCAGCTTCCTGTATGGCTTCTGATCATAAGACGCCCGAACTTGCCACACCTGGTAATCATGTCAACCCTTGATCGTCAAGGAAGAGGAAATGTATCAACCAGGGAGCTCGGACCACAATTCACCAGGTAGAATTACCTCGCAGTCGAGACCAAACAAGCTACTAGCGAAGGCCAGAGAACACCCCCATTGGCCTGCACCGGTTTCCGTCACAACCCTGCGGATTCCCTCCTGAGCGTTGTACCAAGCTTGCGGAACTGCCGAGTTTGGTTTGTGCGATCCGGCTGGGCTGTTGCCTTCGTACTTGTAGTAGATTCTTGCCGGCGTGTCAAGGAGCTTCTCGAGCCTCCGAGCTCTGCATTTTACAGTAGATGTTTGATGCCGTCTCCTCTGAGAGGCGATCAGTCAGAAGCAGGGTTGCTGCTCGGGGAGCGAACCTGATCAATGGCGTCGGACGCCACAGGCTGTAAATATCGATGACTTCGTCTGGTATGTCGATGAATCTCTCATCACTCACTTCTTGCATGATTAGCTCGCGGGCTAGAAGAGGAGACAGATCTCCTGGCACGAGTGGCTTGAAGGTCTTCGGATGCAAGGGTGGAGGCGGTCTCGCTGGAAGATCGGGAACGATATTATACCACTGCCTCGGAATTTCATCCGTCCTGGAGTGAATTTTGTTGCCCGCCCTCGCGGTGATTTTGGAGCAGGAAGAACGCCTCTGCCGCACCGATCCCGCCAAGGGAAAGCAGAAAAGTGGCTTCCAAGCTTCTGCGAGAGGAAACAGGGGTAACTGAACAAGACCTCACTGAAATTCTTCTCCATTTCCTTGAAATTCTGAATGAAACAAACGGATTCACAATCTACTCAACCGGATCGGAGAAAGTAGCGAGGATCTGAAGAGGTCGAGGAAGTTTGGGAGAGTGGTGGGGGGGAGGGAAGAGAGCCGAGAGAAACGAAAACGACGAGGGCCAGTTACCATGTCCGCTGCGGCGGACAGGGGAGGAGCTAGGTGGCGAGTGTGGGATCATCTTCGCCATGGGACTACGCCTCCCGCTCCTTCGGCCCCCGCTCCTTCGCCCGACCGTTGACCTAACCAGACAATCTCCTCGACGAGTTGCAGGAGAGGAGCCTCACCAGCAGGCAGGAGCCTCCATAGGAAGCCGGAGACTTCTTCTACCTCGGGACTACCCTATCGTTTAAGTGGTCCACAAGGCTGACTAACCTGTCTTTTGTGCCAGCAACCTCAAAGATACGGTAATAATCCCCTTCCCACAACTGTGCACCGAATTCCCCCTTCCTCCGGCGAGCAGCCGCACTTCCCATGGACCTCCTTTCTGCTGCTCCAAAATAAAGACTGGAACTGAGAACTTGAATTGATGATAAGAATACAGATAGACCAGCTACAGTGAGAAGGGAGGAGGCCTCGTCGGGCCATGAAGATGGTAAAGCTAGAAGGAGGGGACGACGCCGTAGCCCGTCTCCGCCATGACGGCGGTGGAGAAGAGCTGGTCGACCTCGAGCTCCGCGTCAGATCTCTTGGCGAAGCGGCCCTTGACTCGAGGTCGAGTCTCCGCGTACGCCTTCCTCGAGGCGTACCTTATCGTCTTCTCGAACCTCCTCGTCTTCCTCTTCTCCCTGTACCGGAGGACCCGGGCCTCCCTGTCCCCAGCGCTGAGTGAAGTGGCCGCCGGCGGAGCGGTGGCGCCGGCGAACAGGTCGATCGTTCCTTTGGGCTGTCTGAAATGGGCGGCGCCGCCAGCGGCGACGTCGGGCACGGTCCTCGCCTCCATGGCCGGCTGATCTACGTGGCCGAAGAACGCGGTGTAGCCGTAGAAGCCGTTGGAGGCCTCGTACGCTGCCGCCATCTCCAGGGGGAAGCTCAGCTGCTGTTGCTGAAGCAGGACCTGTTCCTCTCTCCCATCAAGCTTCTTCCCATCGCCCCCCTGGGTCTGCTGCGTGTCTCCGCTGGAGCCATACCCAGCAAAATCCAAGTAGTCGTTGTCCTCGCTGGCGAAGAGCAGCCCCTGGCCGCTGTTCTTGCCGGAGTTGAGCAGCAGCCAGGAGGAGACTTCATCTTCCTCGCCGTCGTCGACCTCGTCGTCGTCGTCGTCGTCCTCCTTTTCCTCCTTGCAGGTGAGAGCAGCGGCGTCGCACAGCGAGACACGGTCATGGCGGGAGGCCACCCAGTTGGCAGCGTGCACGCGGGCGTCGCATCCCCCGCAGAGGTACGCCGAGTCCGCCCTGCAGTACACCGCCGCCGCAGCCGACTGGCAGGCGTCGCACGCCCTCCCGCCGCCGCCGCCGCTGCCCGCCGCCTTCTTCTTCATAACCGCCGTCCCAGCCGGCTCTGCTCTCTCCGAAGTCAACCTCCCCCTCAGTGCTGGGCTAGCTCCATGCCGCATGCTGCAGCTTTGCCTGCTCACTCTCTCTCTCTCTCTTCTGTCTTCAGGCCCGAGGAAGGAGGGAGAGGACAACTGGGAATCTTGATACTGACACGTGGCAACTTGTGCGCGGGGCCAACCAACCTTGTGGTCGACGGTGGCTCAGAGCGAGGCTAATTCCGCTTTTCACTTTCCCATTTGGCTTGGCTTTCCCAGGAATCCCAGGAGCGACCCGCTCAAGAAGCATGACCGCGTGATCAGTGATGCTTTGTGAGGGAGAATTATGCCCCCAATTATTTATATTTTTATCTGCAAAGAAGCTGTTATAAAATGACGAAAAAAAATAGGTTAGTGCTCACGTGGCACACTCCGCCGCCGCAATCTACATGTGACGTGGACGCCCACACGACCCCTCCTCCATCAGTCGCCCCGCGTGTAGCTGGCGTCTCACGAGCCGCAATTTTTCTCCCTTCTCATCCGCTACGCTTTTCCCATCTTTAGCCAGCTCCTGTGAGCGGCCAATTTTTTGTGGCCTCCCGCCGCGCGAACTGGCATTAGGATTTTGCCCTCTCTCTCTCTCTCTCTCTCTCTCTCTCTGTGGAAGAGGGGATGGGTTCCGTTTGGAAGCATGAAAAAGTCAAAACAGTCCGCTACTTCGATTAGATCTCCTCGCAGATGTGGGTCATCCTTCATGAGGAGAGGATAGTCAACTCAACCCGCAAGCAATCCCAGCGACTTTTCCCCAAGAGCTCACGCCTGATCAGCTCCAATGAAGCATCGTAGTCAACATGACCAGAACAAATTATTTTTTTAGAAAAATTTGGCACCATCTATCTCAACCATGGGAAAATCCACACGAGCCCTCCTGATTCTCCGCTTACTCTATGAGATCTCGGATAAGGACCGATGATTCCATTACATCACTCTGAGGCAGCGCTAATCTCCTCTCAGGATCTGTGTAAACGACCAGGGGGGACGCTCCTACTCAGAGGAGAACTTGGCCATAAGCTTGTCAACGTGAAGAATGACGTCGTCGATGCGAGGCCTCACCGTCGGCTGGGGCTGCAGCAGCCACACCACAAACTGGCGGAGCTGCTCCGGATAAGGGGGGTCGGGGCCGCCGGCGGGCCACTTCACCTGAGCATTCATCACCGCCAGCTGCAAGCTCCCCCCGGATTCGCCCAAGACATGCTCGAAGGGCGACACGCCGTACCTTCATGGAGGCGGGCAAAAATCAGCCATTTGCTGTATGGTGAATCGGAAGCTAGAGATTTCCGGATGCTCCATTACAGTGATCGATAATCGTGAGGTGAAAGATAGAGAGAGGGAGAGAGAGAGAGAGAGAGAGAGCGATTTAAATCGGATCAACGAAAGAAAGTAGCGATCGTGGTGCAATTAAATGTAAAGGTGAACCAGAAAGCAATGGGAGAAAGGCCTGCTCACATAGTTGCATAGAGAGTGCACCCAAGCGACCAAATATCCGTCCGCTCGTCAATATCAGCGTGGCTGGGGCAATCCCAGAGCTCGGGGGCCCGAAAAGGGGCAGAACAGTGTTCAGCCGCCCATTCCTGGACACCAAGGTAGTAAAAAAATTCAAACCATATCCGAGAAATAGGAATTTCATGATCTTTATATAACATATTTTCAAGCATAAGCTTTTAGAGAGCCATGATGACGCCAGGGAGACAGAATTGGTCGAAACATGAAAAAGTTAGCAATATAAAGAACATGAAAACTAAAGTTAATACTCTTTATGGCGTAGATTCGAGAAAATCTTTCACTACCTGCAGCTGCAAAGCCTCGGAACGAGATCGGATCTCCTTCTTTGCGGGTGTAGCACTTCCGAAATCCATCAAAATGGCAAGAGGGGGCCGTCCCTTTTGATTGGTGACCAAGATGTTCCCGGGTTTGACGTCATTATGAGCATAAGGAGGATCAAAACTGTGCATATGCTTCAGCCCTGCACAGAGCTGTCAAGAGAATGCATTCATTGGGGGTTCATATCCATAAAACTCGTGAAATTACGCTAATCCACCACTCGAAATTAACAAATGCCCCCATTAAAGTGGTTGAATATGCACGGACGAGCAGAAATACATCCGATGATAGTAACTGTTGACTCCAGATGTAGGCCAGAGGGTGTGATCAGCACCTACCACCTCAGCATATATGTCGATCAAGAGGCTGTTTAACTCTCGTTTTATTGGTTTCACCGGCCAAATATCATTAAACCGAGACCATGTGGTTGTGAAGAATAGCCCCGTACTTGAAATAAACCTTGACCATAAAGATGGGCCTAAATGAATTTACTCATAGCCAATGAGTCTCCAGTTGGATGGCACGGCAGCTCTAACATGCTATTAGAGCCAATGGTTGATCTTGTGCTGAACATAATTCATTCAAATTACCCGCAAGATAAATCCTAGAAGCTCAGCTTGTGCTTGAGGGGTTGTGCTAAGAAATTCTGTTTAAACACAAAACAATAGCAAGTTCCAACCCGAGATTTCTTATTCCAGCACAAAGCATTGGTATCTTGGGATGAGCACTTCATTTTAGGGGAATTGAAGGAATCGAAACTAATATTTTCGATGAGATTTTAAGGGACCCTCTAATCCATTTGAGGTTTAAGGGAATAACCTTACAATGCCTCAAATCAAAGATCATACACCATTTATCCCCCCAAATCTGATGGATCATGCGGCTCAAGTACCTAGGGATACTGACGGCATTGACTGGAAGTACATTAACCTCGAAAGCACAAAATAAAGGATAAAACATAAATCAAGCAACCCTTATGATCAGTAATTATTGAAAAAAAAGTTTGCTAGATCTCCTGTGTCGCATACAATATAAAGAGGGGAAATAAGTAATACAGATATTGTGGCAGGCATCAAAAAATATGTGAGTTTTTTAATTTTATGACGTGATACCCTGCAGAAAGATAAAAGTTACAGCAAGACACGCACGCAGAGACCAGATCAGATCTCACCTGTCTGAAGATCTGAAGTACGGTGAGTGTGGGGAAAAACTCCTTTTTTGACTGCATAGCTTTCGTGCTGTCCAGCAAGGTGCCATCCAAATGAACAGGAAATAAGAGATATGCCTCGTGATTGCGTGACTTCTCTGGTCCCCCCTATAAGTATTAAGACGAAACATAAACCTTCACCCTTTCACATTTCAGTAGATTTCATTGCCAGCTTGCCTGATGTCTAAGATGAAAGAATCTGGTGCAGATCCTTAAGGATTCTATGCATGAAATTCTTAATTTATTTCATTTTTCATTTATATATGTATATAGAAATCAATCAAACATATCATTGGGAAAATGAATGCAGTTCTTGTGGGATCGTTCACAGTTTTCCTGGTTTGGATCTGACAGGATCCATAGATAAAGAATTATGCAGCGTTCACCATCCACAATAGCTTTGGTAAAGGTCTGTCGGTATTTATTACCATTAGCACTGAGAACAAGAGAGAGAATAAATCCCAGATTCACTAATAGGATTTAAACAAAAAGTAAATTAAACAGTATTATCTTCCTTTGCAAGAAAATGAATCATCCACGTAAGAAAATGTTACTGAGAATAAGGGCCCTTGGACTAACTGATCCATTTTGATAGGCTAAATGCCTCGTTTGTTGGAATTTAATGGCTGTCATGTGATTATCTCGTGAAGAGCATCGAATTGGTTGACAGGCTTCTCACTCTACTCGTTCTGGTCTGACTTCTCTCTCTTTAGTGTTCCCAATGGCACTCCGTTTTTTTTCTAGATTCCAGATACTTTGTAACATTTTGAATCCATGCAACTAGGAATTAAAACGAAACTCACTAACCTAAGCTTCTAGCCAAGAACACAGCTCTTTACATGGCATTCTGCGAAAATTAACCTGCAGTTTCGCGCATACAGCAACATAGCTCCCCGAATTAGGTCAGGATTTAGGGGATGTAGATTATCTTAGAAGATGCATTTTTTCGCGTGGCTTCATCAAGTGAAGTAATCTGGTGAGAATCAGGATATATATCACCCCATATGTCCCTTTAAATGTAGGAATCCAAACTACAGTTCTGACCGGGCTAAAAAATTACCCTAATTGGTCAACGCTGACATAAATAAGGACAGTTCACGCTGAATCAGGATTTAGTTTTCTTATCGCATAAGATTATGGCAGCTCTAATATGTGGCAAATGAGACCTTCACGTAAACCTTGAAGACCAGTTTCAAACAGATTAGGAGGAAATGGTGTGTATCTTTTCTGCAATTCACCTAGCCATACAGTTTTCCCTATAGTTACAGTGCTAGCAAAGGGGCGAAAACTTTGTAAATCTGACTGGGGGAAGATTTGCCTAAGAAACCCATGAAATAATGCGGAACATCCAGCAGAATTACCTTAACTCCGATGATTGCATGATCAAGAAGAGGAAGTAGATTGGGATGACTAAACAGAGATGAGACGCGGATCTCCTGCCTCACCAACTCCAGCTGCTCCTCCGTTTGGATCAGCACCTTCTTCATTGCATATAACCCCTCATCTGTACCAACGCGAACAATGCACATGGAAGGATCGAAATTCAGAATCGATGCGTAAACCCACCAATCTTTCCATATCCCGGTCACAACCTCAAGTGCCGAGAAAACTAGGCGAAATCCACTTCACGAAGGAGATTACTAGAGGCAGTTGTTACCACAGTAAAGAAAACTCAGCACATTTTCCACAAACAACCGAGTGACAAAATGCCTACTGTCGTTCCTCACTCCTGGTTTCCTCTGAATTGAAAGATGAGCAACACTAGGGAAGATCCAAGCAATGCACGCACCTGACACGTGAGATGGGTTCTTCAATTTCTTGGCGGCAAGCCCACTCGCGGCTCCGCCCTGGGATCCGTCGTCGGCAATCACTTCTTTCACAAGGAAGACATAGGCGAATCCGCCTTCCCCCAGCTGCCTCAGGATCCTGAACCGGTTCTCGTTGATCCATACATCGCCTCCCCCGTTCACCGCATCGTACAGCGCGTTCAGCCCCGAGAAGGAGCACCCCATCCTTCCCCGTGCAAACCAATTCCGACCGCTAAACAAAGAAGAGGAACGAGGTCACACGCCCCCACACCACCCCCAGAGAGAGGAGAAGAACGCGCCTAGATCTGATAACACCGACAGCTCCCCTCCAGCGTACGGCAGACCTTGCCTATGTCACTCACCTCGAGATCTCCCTCCCCGTGAGAAGTTTTCTCTCTGATTTGGTAGCTAAACCAGTCAATATCTCGACGCTTGCCGAATTAACTATGGAGAGCAGCAGTAATTGATGGAGAGGAGAAACGCTTCCCCAGATCCCCTGTTCCCGTCCCTGCATGAGAAACCTCAGAGCTCTCTCTCTCTCTCTCTCTATCGATTCCTTCGGCTTCAATGCCGTTGACGGTGAGGCGCTCTCCGTGGCAATCCCTGCCGCCCGATGGTAAGTGAACGGGCCGGACGAGGCCATTCGCGTCTTCGGTAACTCATAGCCTACACAGTGGGACCCGCACCGAGTTCTCATAGACTTAGCCCGTGAGTCGACCCTGGAGGGCCACCACCGGTTTCGATTCACATTTCGAAGCACTTATAGAGATACTTTTTTTCATTTTACCGACACATATCTACGATTATTATATTTTTCATTTGCCTCCCATGAATTTTACCATGGCCTCTTAAGCTCAGTCTAGAAAATTCCTAAAACTTTATCCCACGACAGATAATTATGTACATGATCTTAGGGTTTTAAGGTATTTTAACATTTCCTTTTTTACAATTATTAATTATATATAGCTATTTATTTGTGCTAAATAAATGTATACTAATTGTGTAAATCTTTGTACTTGTGAGGTCAATTATTGTAAACTAATTGTATACTAATTGTGCTCAATTATTAATTATAAATCTTTGTGTAAAGGTGAATTTCTCAATTCATACAAATTGTTGAAAACTTCACAAGAGAAGTTGAGAAACTTACTTTATGATAAGTGCCCAATAGGCCTAGAATACTCCATAAGAAGAAAAAGATAGAGCAACCACTTAAAGGCTTAGTGAAGAGAGAGCTTTGTCATAAGAAGTTCTAATCTTTCTATTATTATAGTTCATATGTTATTTTCACTATTTATCTTCTTATTTTGGGTCAAGTTGTCATTATTAATATTACAGCAAGCTTTGATAGCACCCAAAACAATCATGGAGGAATCAAACACTTAGAGAAGGTGATGGAAAAGATAAAATATGAGTTACAATGATTGTGGAAGATGGAAAAAAACATAGAAAACATGGCTCACAAACTTACTCAACTCATGTGGATGATGGAGATGATGCTGTGATGGATCCAATTGATGTAAAAAATGGAAGGAAAAGGAATGAATCACCTCGTGGATTGAGAGTTGATTATGGATACAAGAGAGGATTTTGATTGAAGACATTAAATTACATAAGATATGACTTAGAATGGAAGAAACTCTTTAATCCACATTGACAAAAAGGTCAAAGTTACTACATTGAGTTTAGAGAGGTGAACAACAACTAAAGATGACATTATTCAGTGATAAAAATCTAAAATGATTAATATTTTTAAGTTAATCATATTTGATCGTAAAAAAATGACAATGAGAATGAATTAATAAGATCATGCTTTAACATGATTTTAATGAACGACCACAACCTTTTTTAGGAGTATATACAAATAGTTGTTCTAGAGATTTAAGTCTTCATAGGTGAGAAGTATATACAAATAGTCTCTATACACTATGTAACATGGATCAATAATTAAATATAGGCATAATTTTGACATGATGTCAGCATTCATGAAAAATTAGAGGAATTACTCGAAAACACTTTCATCAAATAGTTTAAAAAATATATTGTAGCAAAATTTAGACACAAATCCATTAATAAAAAATTAAGACAAAACTAGTGGAAAAGAAATTTTTATTAAATCAACTAACTTGACTAGTACAAAGCTATTTAAACTATTTATAATAAAATTAATTATAATTAGTGAGGCAAATTCATAAAACTAATAATAATGGTACAAAGTAGGGAATAAATATACCATCTATGGGTTTTTTAAAAAAATATAAAAAAGTAGATTTTATAAATAAAAAAAGGTTACATTGATAAGAGGCAAATTGACTTTGACCTAACAACATATTTTTGTAGCTTAAAAAGTCATTGTCTCTTAATAAGTCTTCATTATCATGAGTTAATAATTAGTAAATAATATACTTTGAGTCTTAACTCATGATAAATAGACTTATATTTGTGTTAAATTGTGAAAAGTAATTTTTAATTAATTAATATAATTTTTTAACTAATTATGTGATTTTCTATGAATTTATATAATTTTTAGAGTCATATTTTTGAGATAAATAAAGAAAAAAAAATATAGCAAAATGGGGGAACTCGCTAGTTAGCCGGGCCAATAAACGGGTTAGAAGTACAATCAAAGGGAGCTACGAGTAGAGGCTCAAGTAGCTAGGATAAATGGGGGCACACGTGCACCACTTTTCTTTCACGTCACTAGTGACTAATTGATTGTGAGGTAAGAAGTGGTCGTACATACAAAAGAAAGAGACTCATTACTTCTAAATGTGATATTACTATATATTCGTCTAAAACTTTGTCGTACAAGCGATGTGGGACTAAACTCGCATCACACCTTCTCCCAAAAAGTTTTAAAGATTTGAATACCTAAATTATCTCTTCGTTATAATAAAGATATATCATGATGATGTACTTGATAAAGGTATTAGAGTACTTATTTCAATCTCTCTTATGTAGACAGGCAACCAGCATAGATTTTTATCCTCTTAGAGTCAAAACTCATATTTTTATCTAATTATCACGACTTTCTTGTAGATCACTGATGAAGAATTAAGTCGTTAGAATCACTAGATCATCGGCAAAAATCTCGTCAATATGATTCGTAAAGTATTGTTACTAAAATAGTTGAATAATTCGTGATAAAAAGATTATGAATCTATCAAGTAAATCATCTCTAATTGATTGACAAATAAGTTGTTGTTAGAAGAGGATGATCCATTGAGAGACAAGTTGTCACCTCTTAAGAGCGTACTAAATGCAATAAAGAGTCTCTTCTTGCTACGTGGACTTGAGGATGAAGCTTTCTTAACATGCACCCCACATTTATCTAGCTCTTCTCTATCAAATGACAGTCGTCAGAGATGATTTGATGATTTATTTCATTGATCTCTAAACTTCACAAAGAGATTTAGAGATTGCTTATGTTATCTTTATTTAAGAAGAGCATTCAAGGTAGTGGACACTATATGATGATCTTCTCAAACACTCAAGATTCTAATGCATCGTCAATGCATTGCTGCCGCAACACTAAAACTCTATTTTCCTATTTTTAATTGAATTTTTATTTTATTTAGTGATAATTTATATGATTTAAATTTACTAAGCTATACTTCCTTCAATTATAATTCTTTTAACTTTTACATATCTTAACTTGATTGATTAAATCATCTGTAATTACTTATGTAAGAATCATCAAGTAGAACTCTATTTCTACTCGATTCACGTTCGTCGGGCGTTGACGTCATCTTGACATCCGAACTCTTGTTTCCCTTTTTTATTAATTTTAAATATATTTTATTTTTATTTTCTAGTATAAAATTTATAGAAAATTATATATTTTGAAAAAAAATCTAAATAATTACCTGATATTTCATTACATCTTTATGATCAACTTGGAAAATTATCATTATTTTTGGAAATTTTAATCAATTATAATTGATATATTTTTTCAAAAATACTTCTAAATATCTAAAAATTAGTATTTTCTAATTTTATAAATTTTAAATTTATGTGATTCACTATACAATGACTAAGTCATGTTACCCCTATTTGTTATTAATCTTTGAGAGCTTTTAACATTTCAGATTTAGTGCTAGATGTTTCTCCTTCATTGATGATTCTTTTGTCCTAAATTTCTTGTGTGTAGCATCTATTGTCAACTCCCTAATCTTTCAGTAGTACCTTAAGACTTGGATTCATTTTCACTACTTCTATTCTCCTCTCATTGACTAGTCTTACAAGCATCTTAAATGCCTTTGTACCTTTCCTTCAATTTTCTTTTGGAAGTTTCCTTGAACTTCCATATTTTTGTGGGAAATTTTGATTTGATTCCTCATGTAGCTCCACCTACTCATGTACATTCGACTATCTTTAGGCTCGCTTTTTTGAGAAATTCCATCTTGTTGTATTTTGTCATGGTTTCAATTTTCTTCTGTTGCTTCTACAAGAACTAAATTCATTTTCTCTAAGTGTGAAGGTGCTAGCTATTCTCATAATTAAGCAATAAGTTGAACAAGTCAAGCTTCAATTGCTAAAATCACCATAACTAGTCACTATTTAGGTTTATTTTAATCCATGAGTTATTGCCATCTCATAGCACAACCATTATTGATTTGCCTACTCACTTTAATAACTAGATGTATTAAGTTCTCCTTTTTGGGGTTTTTCAAATGACAATAATATTTGGATGCCATTTGATTTCCAAGTTTGCATATGTCATGATCAAATTGTTGTTAATTTTGTATTAACTTTTGTAGATTTTTTTTTGTGGGTATAGCTTTATCACATTTTGCTCTTCCCTAAAATATCTTCTTTTTCTTTTCCCTTATATGATTCCATGTAGATTTAGTACAGAATAATCCATCTTGTGTTAATGACCCTTATACATACATCTTTATGTGGAGAAATACAGATTTGTTCTCATGTAATCTCTTCAATTTTGTTGTTTTTCAATCTTACAATTAGTTAGAGATAATTGCTAATCTATATAAAATTATTGATTGATTTGTATTTGTGGGTTATTTATCCTTATTCTTGGGGTCTGGACCAAAATTCTTCTTTTCATCCAATTATCATACAACACATTGATTTTTAATTTTATAATTTTTCATCTCATTAAAGGTTTCATGTCTATCCATATCATTTGAATTGTTTTTGTTCTTATTGGACCTTGTATTTTGTCCTTAGTATTTGTCATGTGC